TATATTTGTTAGGTACCTACTATTTTTAAAGGATAATATAATGTCAAAGTTTAGCAACACGCAATAAAATTAACGGCCATGTTTAATAATTTTATAATTACTCACGCAATTTAATTGACAAAATGATTATATCCTTCTTATAATCGGTCTCTTATATTATTATCTGAGGATCATGGTCTGGTCTGAGGATGGTAACATCTGGAGTGGTTCACCTCCACCGGTTTCAATCCAACGCATCTCTCATTACTGGGAAGATTTCGAAGGACAATGAATCTTTTTCTTGATCGGTCCAACGTGGAAGGAAGGTGAACGTCCACGCATTGTTTGCCTACGATGCTCCCAACGACAATCGGTTTTTCCAGACTGCCATCGTCTGTGATCCATCGATCGATCGAAATAGTATAGAATGCCTTTTTGGCATATGATCGAAAAGCAAGAAACTGAAAAAAAAGTACCTGTATCAACACATACTACTGTGAAAAAATATTCCAATTTTCACTAGTCATAACATCATTTATAAACGCCTAGACCGATTTCAATATTGAGTTTGCAAAGATCATGAGAAGGTTCTTATAAAAGAAAATTTTGGTAATGTAGTGATGTAGTTAGGTACCTAGGAATGGCAACCCCTTCGGTGCCACAGCGGTTCGCCAAAACAAAAGACTAACACTGAGACGAAGAGGCGAAGTCGGAAGCAAGGCCGGGCTGCCATTTTTACATTAATTTATAACACATTTCTGTGCAACCAATGATATTATAAGTAAAAAGGTGTAGATAGGTTACAAGCGCTCAGCAAGTGATACATTAAAATATGGCTAATTAGCCACACTTTTTCATATTTGTCTCTTTTTCACTCGCTATTATTGAATCATGCCATCCCACTTTAACTTGTATCCTACGATTTATTCATGTGTGCATAAGTGTGCCGTTTTTGAAAATCGAACGTTGTTTATGTATCTATCTATACCATTTTACCTATAGGTAATATCATTGTATGCAACTGTATTATCTCAAGGCGAAAGATTGTACTTGTCGCTTACGTCTTCATCCATCGGCGCCACTGGATCTCTAATCCATTTCTAATTAGTACTGACTTAGACAAATAGATCCCGTCTTAGGCACTCTATTTGTGTAATATGTTGCTTGCAATGTGTAAGCCGAAATGTTTCCTCTTTGAAACGTTCGATGCAGACTACAGAAGTGATCTGTCTATGTAATTTTGCTTATGCTTGCTCTGTGTTCTGTCGTGTACTCTTGTGGTATCCCAGCCAGGAACTAGACAAACTTCGTTCCTCAGTACAAAGCTTTCAAGGCACAATTTAGTTCCTATCTCTTGATTCGCTTGATGGTTATAACAAACCTTGGGCGTTGCGTAGAAGGTTATTGATTATTTTGTTTTTTTTTTATGACGCGTTATTTTTTTGTTGCAAGGAACAATTTTGTTAAAACTATAGAATTTGGTCGTTCTATTCCAAATTTAAATTAAGATTTTGTGTTGAGAGTAAAGAATCTTATACTTACCTATCCTATGCCTTACGTGATTAGCTAAAGACAAAAATAAACTATTTTTTGCATACGGAATGCCGTTACATTATAGGTATAGGTGAACCTGCTTCGCGACGGGAACAAACTGATACAAAAATAGGTTAACCCTTTGGTTTACGTCACAATAACAAAGTAAAAAGCAACCAAGACGTTTGAAGGGACGAAACATGTTTTGCAATACTATTTGCTCAATCATATTCTGTGCAAAAGTTACTCTTTTTATCTACAATAGAAAACACACCTTGATACTTTAAATTTACGATTTAAATCTTTTTGACCGTAACTATAGGTATATTATATCCCATTACTACAAAAAATATTAATTAATTACATCAGTTACACGTCTAGAATGTTTAACTGTACCTGTATAATTTGTAACTTAAAAAACATTAGTATTTGTACGAATAATTTCATCCAGTAACATCAATGTGGTCAATATGAAATAATCCGTGTGGTGATAGCAAACAATCTAGATTCCCATTTGTCACAAGATACTTGGGAATGTCGTAAGTGCAGGTGGGGTTGCGGGGCTAGCGCTATAAGGTACCGCGGCCTCGGCCTAAAGCAGGAGAAGAAACATCAGGTTTTTGTCAGTAAGAGTCTGACACTCCCACTCGCCTCGTTCTGGGAGAAAGAAGTCAGTTGATGATTTTCCCCTGACCCCTGAAAGAGAAAGATCTCATTTGCCAGACATAGGCGGTACATCTGAAATCTGTGAGAATCTCAAGCTTCCCAATAGCAATAATGACAAACTTTTCTACAAAGATGGTGATGATGTTGAAAATTTAACAGAAAATTTCCAAAAAATACAAGCGAAAACTGTGGTAAGAATAGAAATTAAAGTGATTGAGAAACATTAACGTTTGGCCGGAGTGATGCGTCGACGTTGTCGTTGGTACGCCCCTTACGCTAGAAAGCTTTTAATAAAATATTATTACCATCATACGAAAGACGAGAAAACCTTATTTGAGGTTTTCACGTACGCGATGTAGCTTCGTTGAAAGGTAGTTGATAGCAAATGTTTATTTTTGATTATGACCATTAGCTGTAGACGTTTCTGTTTTCTGGTTTATTTATTGTATAGGCATTCTTATTTATTACTTTATTTATATCACAAATGCATCTTTCTCAATAAATTTGTCTTGTAATCTATCATTAAAAAAATCACAAGAAGTTCAAGGGAATTAATCTATTTTGGCAATACGAATGTCTTAGATAGATTACAATATGTAGACGCCAGTTGTAAACTAGCACATTCGTTTTTTAACTTAGCAACAATAACCAAAGGTTGGAAACGTAATGAAAGAAATAATCATGTTAAGTTTTCTTGATATACTGTCATCTGTGCTCTTGTAAAAACTTCTTGCACTAACAAAACCTCTTTCGTCAGAATAGAAATTAGCTTAAGAGCTGATTTTTCAATGGTTGGATAAAAGTTATCTGGGGAATAATTATGATGCTGTCGCGTCAGAATGTTTGTATAAGACAGTGACAGCAACAATTTTATTCCTCAGATAAAGTTTATCTGACTATTGAAAAATCAGCTCTAAGCAAATCAAATTTACTTCTGTCTAAGAATATCAACATCAGTTGGGTTACGTTTTTCATATTTCTACAAGCTCTGCACACGGTTGATAGATAATAGAAAGGCTATTAAAAAATTAAAAGATGGCGTCAACTAATTTGTACCTCGTCTTTCTAAGGCTGTACAGCCTGATGTAGTCTGCGTCAAATATCGTAGTTCATAATGGCCATGCTTTTACTATTAACCATTAAAACTGTTAGAACGCTAAATAAATCTTTGGATTAATGTAAATGCATACCTGACCAGCCCGGCCGACCTAAATTGCAGGAATCTGACGTCACTTTTGCAAATGTTAAATGATTATTCTAAAGAAGCCTTGTCTATTGAGAATGATATTTAGTCTTGCTTTGGTTTGTACTTGTATTTAATAACGTGGGTTTGGCATTATGATACCATTTTTATTTCAAAAAATATATTATTTAAGTTACTATCTGCTGGGTTATTTCCAAGTTGTGTTGTCACAATATAATTCCGTTTTAATTGCCAAGATAGAAACTTATCAGGTTCTTTTTTTAAATTAAATAGTTATTAAAAAAATATTTTGGACTTCATTTCATTAATCACTATTACATTAACGTGTTCAGTTTACATAGTAACAGAACAGTTAGTTGATAGATAGAAATTTGCATATTCGTTCTCGATACGCCCTTAACCTTGAAGCACATCTCTTAAATACAACTGGGACTCTCAAACATGGAACACAGGCACGCATCCAATCATTCAAAGTGCACCTACGTTAACTGAGTATAAATTAAGTAAACTCGACAGACTTGACTTAGCGACAGACTCGGATATGCGAAGAAGTTTAATATCTCGCAACAATCTTGGGGAGAAAAAACCCTGTAAACGATGTCCTCGGACTCCTAACCTCGGCCACGTGGTCGCGATACATAATGCCAAAGAGCTACGAAAGTTCACGATTTTCACAAGCGTACGCGCAAACTCTGAACAGGTAATACCTGTGGGTACTTGCCTATTTATGCAGCATTAAGTATATCACGTAGTAGGCTCCGGCGAACAACGTCGGAATTTTAAATACATATAGGTGTTACTGCCAATGTTTATAGTACAAAAGATGTAGAAAATTTGTCGGGACTACGTTCCTTCTTTTTTTTCTCTTTATTGTCGATTTATGCTAACCAGATCTGTGTCGTTCGTGTACTTGTTAAACGCGAGTTTACGTGAGTGTTGTTGTAAGTGCCGTGTACTTTGATTTGATGAGCTCCGTTTGTGGTCTTACTTCATACTTCTATGATCTTTTATATAATTGGCTACTGTTGTTCAACTTACTTGCATTTCGCAAAAACATAGATTGTATCTGTCTGGGACATTTGTTTCCATAGCATGACATCGACTTGACATAACAAGTTGTATAAATGAAAATGCATAGTTATATTAAATTCCTCCCATTATGTAGTTGGAATCGGTACAAAGCTTTTGTAAGTTACAAAATTAAATGCAATGCAGCAATTACACGTCAATTTATCTTGCCAAAGTCTATCTATAAGCAACCGCAGTCTTGCATCACTTGAAGACTTAACTTCGTAAAAGTTAAACAGTTTGATCAACGCAGTGGAATAGCGTGAAACTCGACGTCGACGACCAAAAGTACTACAGCGACTGGTAACGTCTTACAGAACTGTATAAACGATGAGAGTTACACTGTTTATATACCGATAATGAAATAACACGTATTAAAAGATTGATGGTGTTTGGTTCGACATTTTAAAGTAAAAGCGACTTGTGCCGCCATCTACGGATGCGATTACACCTACACGCTGTTTACAAGTAATATTTGTTCGGCATTAAGTTACTAGATGGCGTTTATGCTGTTTTTTATTCTCATGCTTTATTTCTTGTTTGTCAACAGGAACATGTGGTGACGATGACTTCCACTGCCGTAGCGGAGCTTGTATCGAGTCCAGCCGCCGATGTGACAACATTTATGATTGCCCGGATCACGACGATGAACTTGGATGTGGTGAGTTCTTATTTTCTATTCCATTGTTTTTAAGTAAATACTATTCTAACTTCCAACAAAATCAAGAAGAAAACATAAATGGAATACAATATGGGTGAATTGTGGAATGAATTTTAAGATTTAAAACTAACGATCTATGATTTATTTCGACTCGAAGAAAAATACGAAATCTTTCATAGCGTAACAATTTTTTGACTGCTCGTCGTTTTGAGTTAATATTATAAAGTAAACTTAGCTAAAACCCTTTTTTGTTTGCCTATCAGATTGTCGGCCCGATGAATTCCGTTGCTCCACTGACGGTAACTGCATTGAAGAGCGCAAGAAATGCGATGGAGTACAACACTGCGCTGATGGGTCTGATGAGTTAGATTGCCGTGAGTACTCAACTTACTTTAAAAACGATTCTTATCAAACGAGAGACTATGAGCAGCATCGAATGAATTTATTTGCAAGTGCATGGAAGCTTATAATAATAAAAGTAAAACAGCTATAGAAGGTAAATACCAGAGAACAAATTTTATTGGTTTAAAATACTTTTTTATGAGAAATCTAAGTTGTCGTTGATTCTGAGGCTGGTATTTACTTCAAATTCTAACCTACGCTCTTTATTTTAGTATCCATTATTAGCTCATAATGTCTCGTTTTGAATTAACCAAGATAACTAACGTGGCATTTCTGCACGCTGCTTCAATGGATTACGTTTATACGGTAAGTGTCGAGCGCGATTTGGTGGGCTGGCCACCATGTATGTAAGGATAGTGGCCACTTCAGATGCCACGACGGCTCTTGTATATCGATCTTACTTCGTTGTGATGGATTCAGAGATTGCAAAAAGGATGGTAGCGACGAAATCGGATGTCGTAAGTATTAGCTTGAAAGCGACTAATACAATTGTGGTTTTGTTTAAATAGTTTAATTATTGACGATATTCTTAAGGAATCAAAATTGTCTGTCAAATTATCCTTTAAATTAAATTTAAGTTTGAAATAATGTGAAAATAATATCTTGTTAAGATTATGAGAGATAGTTTTCTTGATGAAAGTAGTAGTATTCAATTTGGATATTTTAATCGATAAACAAAACCACATTTTGGGTGGTATCTTACTAACTTCTAACCGAATAACTCATGTAACATAATTTTAAAAAGCATGCAGATCAGACCAGTGGCAATGCGACCACGGGAACTGTATCAAACGAAGTAAGCGATGCGATGGGAGGGTCGATTGTCCTACAGATAGGTCCGATGAACGCAACTGTATCGGTAAGAGAGAATCACATAGCCATAGAAAACACATCACATTTAGCCCACCCTAGATATAAATTGAAGATTCAACCAATTTCATTAAACCCACAATCGTCATCACTAGCTCTGAATGAAAAAAAAATATTCCATGCACGATAGAGTACCCGAAATACCATTCACCATAACAACATAATCACGTGTCATGATCAGTTTACATGTATCGCTTCGCATGTATTTCCAGCCACTGGCTACTTTAAATGCAGAAATGGCAAGATAATTCCCGAATCCTTAAGGTGCAATCGTCACTATGATTGTACGCCAGAAGATCTTTCCGACGAACAAAACTGTCGTAAGTTTACATTATAAAGGGTTCTTGTTGGCTTACTGTCTTTTTTATTTCCTTTTCTATTTCATTTGATTTACATTTCTATCCAATGAGTCCCCATGGTGACGTGTTATCATTTCAATGTATGTCTTCAATATTTCGTTCTTTTCTTCCTGTACTATTTTCATTTCTTCCCATCTTTCGTTTCAAAATTGCTGGTGGTCTATTAGTCCTTTTAAACTGTGAATATGACGCACCATATTTCTTTTACCGGCTAGCATGTGGTGCGAGCGACTTCAAATGTGATAACGGCTACTGCATACCTGCATCAAAATATTGCGACCGCACGAATGATTGTCAGGATGGTTCTGATGAACGTCATTGCTCCTATGGTTTGAACTTTTCCAAATTTATTAAAGATGATTCTATTTGTAAATTTTGATATTTTCGACAATCTACTTCAGTAGAGGTGATGGCGCACATCAGCACGGTAACTACGCCAGCGCTGCGTGCCATGTTGATGTGCCCAAGCCCTTGAGCATGCTATTATAATTACAACTAAATTTACCAACATCAAATCGCTTCTTTGAATGCACAGCATTAAAATAGCACTTAACTAGATTAATTTTCATAACAACAATAATGAAAATAAACTTGACGATTGAGAGATATCTGAGTGTTTTATAAATTAAATAATTTAAATGAGTTTTGACCTTTGAATCTCCATTCACGTCAAGTTTATAACATAAAATTTTAGATTACTTATTTTTATTAGTCATTTAATATTGCTTTAATTTATATATTTCTAATTATTAACGCACTAGAAAGGGATTCAGTAGTCAATAATGATTCCCTTACTGGTGTATTTATGTGGTTATGGCGCATTATTACGGCAGGCACAGTTTGCATGGCTTATGAATATGAATGCACGAATGGAATGTGCGTGCAAGCCGATGCCAGATGCAACGGAACGGTGGAGTGCGATGACGGCTCCGACGAAACCAGCTGCCCCTGCAAAAGGGACCAATACCCATGTCGGGATGGTTCTTGTATAAATATAGCATATCTTTGTAATGGTCGGCATGATTGCAGTCAAGGCGAAGACGAGTACAATTGCCGTAAGTAACGCTTAATGAATGCTGTCACTATATTTTTGTCGTTCAATATAATTCATCAATCGGTTTACATTAAAATTTGATACCAATAACTTCATTGTTGAGGCAAAACTTTCAAATAATCACATTTCCAAGGGATGCTATCTTCAAAACGATTGGTGAACTATAGCGAAAGAATTTTGTTGTAAGACCCGTCATCTAATTATGTGTAAATATTTAGTGGCGCAAGAAATGGATCGTTGGCAATGCTTCGACGGTGTATACGTAAGTGTACGGCGAAGGTGTGACGGTCGGTTTGATTGTCCCGATCATTCAGATGAAAAACATTGTGAACCATCAAATGTGATAAAAGGTCCACGTTTATATTGTTACAGCTAGAAGCATGGGCATGCATACCGCATGATTACTCTATCTCTACTGTACTTTTTCTAGAATATTATTACAGTCGTTATATTCTTGTAGATAAACTTTTTTCAAATTATTTTTTCACTTTCCTATTATATGTGTTTTACAGTTACAATGTTTTTTCAGGGGATAAAAATCATTATTTCTTTATTGCTGATAATTTATTCGAAGTGATAATAGCAGTAGTTTTTCGAAATGTGTTAATCGCACTGGGGAGCGTGGTATTTGATGATTCGATTCTATAATGTTAAAATGATTTCAGGTTCCTCATGTCCTCCGGATAGCTTTACTTGCAACCCGGGCTCTAGAGTGCTATGCGCCGGTAAATGTAACGGCAACCCAGAGTGTGATGGAGGAGAAGATGAGGAAGGCTGTGAAGGTATATTGAGTCACATTTTCACTTTTACATCTTTAGAAACTTAAATGCTCAAAATTTTAATCAAAAACCCTCCAACTTGGGTTATTCTGTATTTATAGTTTGTAACATGAGGGCTATCGATTTTGATTTCACTACATGGTGCTAATGCTAAAATCGTTTTGAAAAAGTGTCGAATTTGTTGATATTAGCAAAGTGGTATTGGGAAATTCAGGAGCGATAGCCCTCATTGCGTAGTTGATGTAGTTTAATTTGTACTTAAGGCTCTGGAAGTACAACAATATTCTGAAGCCAAGCGAAAGACTGGCTCAAGTAGTCCAAGACTATAGTTTGATTTTAAAGGCAGTTTGATAAGTTTGGAATACTGTTGTAGTTCACAGTTTTGATTTTGTTATTGTTAAATATGACTTGTTATTCTTTAATTTACATTATAAGGCTATGCGTTAGGAACGAGTCACATGGAACAATTTTGGTTTTCTAAACCATGTTTTGTTTCGTGTACATTTTTCTTGTAATTTTTTTTAATTTTATTTTTTATTTACATATTGCCCAAAATTGTTCATTTTGATTGTTTCATTGTGATTTGGTCCAGCGTGACAAATAAGTGTCTTAATTATATTTTATACATAAACCTTTGCGAGTACTAACACAATAGCAATTCGTGCCATGGCAATATCACTATAACCTTTACAACTGCGAAGATTTGCGATATTTTATCTTTATTTGGTCCTCATAGTATATCAAGTTTTTTATATTATTTACATAATTCGTATTGTTTTTAAAGCGTGTGAACACGAATGCGACGGGAGGTGTTTACCGACCACTGACATTTGCAACGGCATTCGAGACTGTTCCGATGGGTCTGATGAAGACAACTGTTATCACTGTGATCGTCCCGATGACTTCAGGTAACTGATGCAAAAGAGTTGATTATTATAATGCTGAAATGCTTGCGTGCGTTTGTAATTTTTATGATTTGTTCTTTATGCGAATAAATAAATATCTTAGGCCTATAGCGAAAGTTGCTAGCATTATGAACTATAGTGTTTTCTGCGTGTTGATCAGGGTAATAAGTATAAGTTAATATTTTCATTTTAGATGTGACAACGATGAGTGCATTCAATATTCATTGCGCTGTAATGGAATCGCTGAGTGCCTTGATGGCAGTGATGAGAAGAACTGCAACAAGACCATGATCACCAGCCCTGAACGTAAGTATCTCAAGTGTACTGTGCCCAATTTCAGAACATAAGATGTACTCTAATGTTATGTAACATAGTGTGTTTCTAGTTAATGATTTCACTCTATTCTATCATTACGTATTTGAGACGTGACAATACCAACAGTAAATAGGAGGTCCAAAATCCAAGAAAATTATCAAGGTTTTTTTGATTATTATTTCCTAATGATTTATTTACGTTTTATTTTTATCAACACCCTTAAGTCTCCGTCAGAGTTTTTATCTTCTTACGCTAATTATTAAGGACCTTTTTCCGTAAATAATAAATGCGTAATGACAATTTCACTTTTTTTTCTTCCAGAGCAATGCACTTCCGAACAATTTAAATGCTTATCTGACAATACTTGTATCGATATGAACTTCTTGTGCGATTACCACGTAGACTGCGAAGATGGTTCCGATGAAGCTAACTGCCGTAAGTATTACAATGCTATTATTCAAACATAAATACCACATTCAAATAAAATGAAAAATCTAATTCAGATGCAAACGTAATTGATCCTTATTGATATCTTCAGTATCCTGGTAAAACGGTTCATTACTATATTATACGCAACATAATATTGTGTTATATCAATGACAATAGAAAAAAATCAATTTGATAGAGATGAGAATCGCTAATGCTTAGTGTAGACTTTATTGACCGAAATGAAAAAACATTGGCTACACGTAAACCTTGGTCTAAAAAACATTTTATTTTGAAATTCAGAAGTCTATAACAAGCATTAGCCTCCCAAAATTAAAGATCAATGGATGGCAAGTCACACACACACGCTTATAGACGAAAAACGCACAAAAAATTTTTGCACTTTTTGAACTAACACTAATGGCACATCTTATAAACTAATACCGCACCACGCACACAAAATTTAGATGCTATAGTGCCTTCTAACACAAATTCTTATAACACACCTTTACTTTAGACCTGACTATCTTTAGAGTAAATTCTTGAATGTTCTCCAGTATTCTTCAACTACACTTTGATTAAAAACAATGAGTGTGCATAAAGGTTATATATAACTGAGTCCTTCTAAGAATCGTCACTTCGGACTACCTAAATGAGTAAATTATTGACTTTTAAACATCGAATCTGGTAACCAAACATGCTATCTCTGTCATCATTTGACGTCACATCAAAAAGAAACTTCACCTGAACTAGCTGCCTGACTAGATTAGGGCTTTAATGTTATTACGGGAAGGTTGATAAATTAATGGGTGTTTAGCATGGTACATGACGAGAGCGTCGCGATCACCAGCGCTTGCGGCCTGCCATGAATCTGAGTTCACGTGCTATGATGGCCGCTGCATCCCACATTCTCGGCGCTGCGATAATATTTACGATTGTTCAGATTTTTCTGATGAACAAAACTGTCTATATACGGGTATCTCATTCATTTTTGTACTGCCACATTTGAGGGTTTACGTCTCACATTTTAAAAGTCACTTTTAAGAATACCTATTAAGAGAAATTATTTGCCTACAGAATATTGACATACATATTTACATTGTACCTATTTATAAATATGTTTGACAATTCTGTGATTGTCATTACAAATATATTTTCCTTCTTTCGAAATCGTATCGCCCTCTAATGTGGAAGAAATAAAATTGTTTTGGAATGCAGTCTGTTTTAAAAGAAAAAATATAGTGTACCCTAATTTTTTACTCCTTCCAACCCAAAAGTATTTTACATTTTATTAAATGTACCTACTGTTCATTTGAATATGAATTATACACTGTATGTTACGAGTAGGTTAGACTCATTTTAGATTGACTGTGTAGATCGTTTATTTTATTATTTTATTCACCATTGTTGCATTATCGGGAATGATTTTTCAAAGTCGTTCACTACAATGGACAATATTTTTAAAAGTGTTCCAATTACAATTATATTTAAAAAAATAAGCTTATTTCGCAATATCTGAATAGCCGCTGTGTATCAAACACATTTGATTTTAGAACTTATTTTTTATAAATTATATACTATATAACTTTATTAGAAACTTATATGAAAGTGTTGAAATGGTCAATAATCCTTGTAGCGAATGACACTTTGTCACTAGAACCATCTAGACTCCTGCACGTTTTCTCTCTTGCTTCGAACCCTTTTGCTCTTTATACTATTAAGAATATCTTGACAAAAGGCTTGTTTGTTTGTGTGTTTGAATGTTCAACAGTTGTGGTCCAAATTTGGAGTAGATTAATGATAAAGAGTGACTACAAAATTTCTAGTCAACCTTTATGCCGTATTACTTATAGTGAGATGTTAATTCCTGCACGTTACAAAACTATCCTTTTTTCTCTTTTTATTTGACGAGAGGCTTATTTGTAATCCATTGCTTGTAATGTTCCAGCCTGTCCTGAAGATAGCTACCAGTGCTACAATGGACAATGCATGTCAACTTCACTTTTCTGCGATGGTCACGTCGATTGCCAGGATGGGTCTGATGAGCTCAACTGCCCCGAGTCTACCACTGTTCGGTTGCCAGTGACTCCACCGGTTTACTACCCATCGACAACAAGATACCCTAGCAGAGTCCAACCAGTCAACAGCCAAGGTAAGTCGCATATTAAATTGTGTTTTTCAACAACATTTCAGTAAGAAGGATGAGTCATCGTAACGATTAATTGATACTTTTTTAGTTTCTTGCATTGTACGTGTCGATTGACAATTGTGGTTGACCTAATTCATGATTTACACCAATATAAAAAGCATATTTGTTGAACAGCAATTGTATTTATTTATGGTAAGTATACATAGATAAGCCATGACTTTAGGCTTTAAAACGTCCTGAATTTACTAGGTGTATGCAGCGCTCACCAATGGCGTTGTGAGAACGGACCGTGCATAGACGCGTATCGTCGTTGCGATGGGCATATTGACTGTCCATTTGACTACAGTGACGAATTTGACTGTCCCCGCAACAGTAAGAAATCGAATGATGATTAAGAATCCTTTAGAAGTTGTTTTTTTAACATAGTCTTAACGGACAGACTCCTGATATTTAACGGAATTTCCTTACTAATATCGTTTAGGTTTTAATTTTAGTTGCCTTTAAACATAGGGAGAGAGGAGAGTAGACTGTGAACGTCTTTTGTCTAACTTTTAATTAATTTTATATTAATTGTGATTGTGGCGTCCTGCACGATTATAGATGATATTGAAATGTGCGTCGTGGTTAATAACATGTAAATAAATGGATGAGGGATGGTTCCTTTCAACTTGAAGTTGAAGAAAATAATTGGAATTTAGGTATATCAACATTTATACTAATTTGTATAACTGCGTGATTCTACGAATATTTTTTTATAATAAAATTTAATAAAAACTGTATATCGAAACTTTGTAATTTATTAGCAAATTGTATTTTTGATAATTTATTAGCAAAATTAAATTTCGATAATTTATAGCTAAATTATTTTTTGATAATTTATTAGCTTCAAGATTTAATTTATTTCATAGGTTTTAAAAGTTTAAACTTGGAACTAACTTCTTTACTCTGTAGACTATCTAACACATAGAAATCTAATACTTTTTACTTATAATAAATAATTTGGTTTAACAGATCGACTTAAAAAGAGACAGAAGTCGGCAAACAAATTAACTATTCTTTGCCTGGACATTGAATTAATTGATAACATTAAAAATACTATCACTAATCATAAGGTGTTAAGTTATTTTTTTATATTTTTTACTAACTTTTAATAATTATTCGCCGTATTTATTATAAAAATCGTGATTAGGCAAAGATATAAAATTAAAATTGAGTATAGTATTTTTTTTGGCTATCAAGATAAATCTTTATTCAATCTTGAAAAGGTTCCATTAATTTTTTTACAGATGTTCTGTGAACTAATTTACAATAATTAATTCACTGATTCAAACATGAACATAAGATAACACTTCTATCGACAGATATTGCGATTATTTGTTTTAATAAATAATTTTCAAGAAAATGCACAAACTTTTTTGATCAGGTGTATATTTTTTAAAACTCACGGCGCAGATCTGCCTTACTTTGTCTTAATACAATTTCCATAATTTGATAACAAAATTTCATATTAATTTTAAACCTCTACAATAAAATCGTCTATAAATCCAGCCCTGGACTGCGTGTACGTTGAACTGTATTTAATAAATAAATAAACACAATATTACAAAATTATAAATAAAAAGAAAATTGTGCATTTTGATAACATATTTTGAAAATATTGTTACATAATAAAAACTTTGAAAGTTACCACTGTACAGTGTACATAAATATAAATATTTTTTTTAATTTGTACATAAGTAATTTAAATTGTAACATGTATAAAATAAGTAAAGTAATTAATAAATAAATACTAATAACTGATATTAACGAAATTGTAATATAAAAATATAATAATACTAAATACTTTTACAGGTCCCCCAGCTCTGAAGTTGATGACCTATCCAGCAAACCAATCAGTCAGACACGGTAAGATAATATACTTAATTACTCAAAATATACTTTTATCAATTTTTTTTAGTAATTTAAGTGCCACGGTGGTCTAACGGCGTCGCCTAAAGGACATTCGTATCGAATGCCAACTATACGGCTCCAAGTGGGGTCCTAATGGGGTTACTCAATACTTTAAGCTTAAGAACAATTGGTGCTTTTCAAAAATCCAGTTCTAAATAAATTCTGGTCTTTTTTGGAACTATTAACTGATAAAAAATGGTAAGAGGCGTTGCTATTAAACTGCCCAAATCGGGAAATAAATGTATCTGGGTGACTACAAGGTCATAACTTAATCAAGTGGTGGGTTGAAAAAAAAGAGGGTACAAAAAGAAAAAAATGTTTTAGTGCAAACTACTGGTGCGAAGGGATACTTTAAGTCAGTTTGATTTTAACGTCCGAAGGAGACGGACGTATGCGTACGAGATGTACGTACAGACACGGTGGCCGGCAGCTGGCTGCTGTGCAACGTGTCGCGGGTTCAATTCCCACACGGAAAAACACTTTTTGTGATTCATAAACTGTTGTTTCGGGTCTGGGTATGTGAATTTGTATGTTTGTAAACGCATCTACAACACAGAAGAATAACCTAGTACCTAGTACTAGTACTAGGACCTGGTGAAGATTTCTAAAAAACCGAAAATTGGATAACTGTTTATTTTAATTAGTTTAATAATAATATGAGAAGTTGTGTCCGTCCCACTTATCGAAATAACATTATGTTTTCTTACCAAAACTGAATCATTACAATTACGATCACTTTTTGAATACTGTTATTCAAAAAGTTATGTAAAATATGTACATATTTACGGTAATAGAACAGACTGTTATTTTTATGTTTTTTTTTACTACACAATCGGTGGAGGTCGTATTAATAGTTAGGTATAATTATATGTAGGTAGGTGTTTTACTCAATTATTTTTATAGAATTAATGAATAATCTTCAATCTTTGTTCTTTCATGGTGGTGGAACAGTGAACTCTGGTGAGTCGGCTTGCCTGACTTATTTTTTGGGCAACCATAATACAATGGGTTTTCATAACATTTCCATTTTTGACATAATTAATTATGACCAGTTTGCGTGACATAATTATTATTATTATATACCATAAAAATTATAAAGCTTTAATAATTATTTTTATCATTAATTTGGGCATACCTATATCTAAGCTATAAGTAGAAATTTTAACGTTTGTTTTTTTTTTTGCTTAAACTAAATCGGTGTACTTCGTAATGGGTGGAATTAGAATTTGTTTGAATTGGTTTACTTAAAAATAATACTTTTCATAGATATAGATTATATTATACATCCATCGAATCATATTATTTGTTAGTTAACATGGGTATTATTGCATGAAAAAATATTTCGTTATATAATATTTGAAAAAAAAATATGATATAATGTACCCATGTACATGTAAACTACACATACATACATATCTATATTTCACATTATAAAATTACAATATGGGTTTTAAACGTAACTCAACTTTGGATCATTTTAAGAGTACAATGTTTTGTCTCTTTTATGCAAAGTCAATTCGTTATTCCGAAGAAAGAAACGAAACATGTCATAGATATACTATGTAACATTGGTCATTAATTGAAGACATAATTTAGCAATGCTTTTGATTAACAAAGTTGAGTAGCGTTAGTTTTTAAATAAACATATAAACTATACTTAAAAAATAACCTTATTTGGCATTTCCATTAATACCTATGGGTTTTATTAACAACATTTAAATAAAAATTAATACTAAAAATTGGGTTTCATGCTTACTTTTTGTAACATTCACAATATTTCGAATATCGAATTGTTTATTTATTTATAATTTGCATTGTAGCTCGGTATAAAAATAATGGAAATTGTAATAAAAATTATGGATGTTGTAATTGCTTAAATACAATTGCATTCCCAACACTATTCCTGTCTTTAGGTAAAACAAAAAAAAATTGAAATCAAATATTCCTGTCCGAAAATAATTTTGGATAACCGAATTATTTGCTTCTTCCCGTCTTCGTAAAGAAACGTCCTGAAACACATTTCCTTTTTAAACAACTTCGAAAAAAGGAGTTTCACATTTCGACAGTGATCTGAAATTAGTTAACTAACTCTCGAAATTATAATAATAACTTTCAAACACAAAATTATATTACAGATTCATCAGCATATTATTATACATTACATACGTTCATACAAATACATATACTTAGTCGGGTCATAAGTTCTGTCAAAACCTTATATTTTTAATTTTCGATTACTGGCCAGAAATTCTTCGACTTATTTTAAAAATAGAACTTTCGCGCTTGTAGAAAATAAAAAAGAAATTATTTTTTATTCATTTTTAAATATGGAGTGGTCGAATAAAGAAGACAGAATCGCGGTTATCGCGTTGCACCGCTGTGGTTACGCGCCAAAAGACATTTTCAATATTCTTCAAAATTTGAAAATAACGTTACGGTTTGTTTATCGTACTATCAAACGATACACCGAAGAGTCAAGCTTCGAAGATCGTAAGAGAAGCGGCCGACCTCGCACAGTTCGGACACATAAGGTCATCAAAGCAGTGAAGGCGCGAATCGAACGAAATCCCGTACGTAAACAAAAAATCCTAGCTCTGCAGATGGGGCTAAGCAGAACCACTGTTAAAAGAGTACTAAATGAAGACCTGGGACTACGAGCTTATCGTAAAAAGACAGGACATTTTTTGAACGAGCGTTTAAAAAAAATTAGGCTAGACAGATCCCGCGCTTTGCTACGACGGTACGCGGGAAAAAAATACCGCGAAATTCTTTTTTCGGATGAAAAAATTTTTACTATTGAAGAAAGTTTTAACAAACAAAATGATAAGGTGTATGCCCACAGCAGTGAAGAAGCAAGCGCGCGTATTGCGAGGGTCCAGCGTGGGCATTACCCTTCCTCATTCATGGTTTGGCTTGGAGTCTCATATTCAGGCGTAACTGAGGTGTTTTTCTGTGAAAAAGGTGTGAGAACTAGTGCCGAAGTTTATCAAAATACTGTCCTAACAAACATAGTGGAACCTCTTTCTCAGACAATGTTCAGGAACAGGCATTGGATATTCCAACAGGACTCTGCACCGGCTCATAAGGCACGAAGTACGCAAGACTGGTTGATCGCTCGTGGAATTGACTTCATCCGGCATGAAGACTGGCCCTCTTCTAGTCCAGATTTAAACCCACTGGACTACAAGATATGGCAATATTTGGAGGAAAAAGTCTGTGCTAAACCTCACCCGAATTTGGAGTCTCTCCGAGCATCTCTGGTTAAAGCAGCGGCAGACATAGATATGAATTTGGTGCGTGCAGCGATCGATGACTGGCCGCGTAGATTAAGGGCATGTGTTCAAAATGGGGGAGGGCATTTCGAATAATGTAAATAAAATTATATTGTACATTTAATGACCTTTCATTTCATATATAATTTTTAAATAATTGTCAAAAGGCGTATAAGTTATTACATCAAAAGTTTGTGACAGAACTTATGACCCGACTAAGTATATCTATGGAATGTCGGAATGCGTGGGGATCATGGGTTTTAGCTGATGTTAATGTCATCAGCTTGAACTGACGCATCTTGGGCTCTCTAGGTGGTGATGTCGTATTCCAATGCCGTGACGAGGGACCCCTGCGTGCCAACGTCAGGTGGACGAAACAAGGTGGCATCAAGGCCGGCTCGACTGACGTTCGTGGACGCTTGGAAATGTACAAAGTTACTGTAAGTATATTATTATCTTCTGCTTCTTTTCTTTTTCCTTTTTTTATTCCCAGCAGTGTATTTTAGTAAGACTTCATTTTAAACTTCGAATCTGAATCCGCTGTGAGTATTAGTACACTAGCGCTACACTTGCGAGTTGAACTAAATTGACCGCAACATTTTGACAGATAAAGTATGAGATGACATTGACATTCTATAATATAATTTCCCCCTCATTTCGACGCTCGCCTCACATCCAAACAAGATTGAAAAAAATAAATTAGAATGGACGTCCAGGACTTAGGCCTTATTAAGTCTTTGCCATCTTTTTCTGACTTGAGCACTTTGTTTGATGTCATCAAGTAATTAAAAACGTATAACAATGAAGACTAATTAATAGGACCAATACGTAGTCTTTATGAACTCAATTCTTTACCCACATGAAACATTTGAGCAAATCTCTAGTAGCTTTAAACCACAACAGGGCTCTTACAGGGAAGAAAATTTGAATTACCTATTTTTTATGAGAGTTATAACACGAAAATAATACTTTATGCCCATCGGCCCGTCATCCAGTGAAGTTATTTTTACACTGTTGCTTGTTAAAACTGTGACCTATTGAAGGAGAATTGTTATTTTTCAATTTTAATCTCTATTATTTTATACAGTAGCAACAGTTTTACAAAATCCATATACAAAATTCCTTTACATTTATTTTAAATCCTCATCACATATTATCACATTTAATAATTAAGACCGAAGAACCTCTACTTAAGAACATAAATCTACAGTATGCACTATGTCCTTCTAACTCGGTATCATAATTGACAGGAACGCGACAGTGGTGTCTACACTTGCCAAGCTGATGACTACTTAAGATTCCCAGGCTCTCAAGTCCGCGTCGAGTTGCAAGTCGACAGCGCACGTTAGTATCTTAGCAGCATCATAGAATTAATCGATATTATTAGCCCGTTTTATTTCACAGATTTCGTCTGCTTCTTAGGGACCTATTTAATAAACTCCCCACGCAATGAGTATAGACCCAATCTAGGATTTACCTGCCTTTGGATTTCACCGAACGCGGAAAAAGTTGCTAATAAATTCTACACTGCCATCACCGTACAATTAATTAAACAAGGATACAAAGGAATACCAACATTAAAACAGACACTAAAAGTTCAAAATTCATTAAGACTTTCTAATCTAAATTTGTTACTCTTATATTTACAGCTGTTACCTACGCACCATTCTCTTCCTGTAAGCCCTACGAAGCGACTTGCGGTAACGGCCAGTGCATCCCTAAATCTGCCGTTTGCGACAACAACTACGATTGTGCCGATCGATCCGATGAAGAGAACTGCCGTAAGTATTATTCAAACTCTATTACTTTACTACTTCATAGCTTTCCACTAGAGGCTCCAAACGTTTTCCAAGAGATTATATTAACAAATGGAGATGTAGATGAAAGGATGACAAAAAATATACAATAACAAAATTTAAATACGTTACAGATCACGACGGCATGTGCGAGCCCAACCAGTTCAAATGTAACAATCACAAATGTGTGCTAAAGACATGGATTTGTGACTCTGAAAACGACTGCGGTGACGGTTCCGATGAACAGAACTGTGGTAGGACGAGCGACGGTAGATGCTCGCCTGCTGAATTCGCCTGCAGTGCAGGAGACCAGTGCATTCCCAGGAGTTTCCACTGTGACGGACAGACTGATTGTCAAGATGGTTCAGATGAATATGGTTGCAGTAAGTAGAACTACATATTTCGTCTCTCGTCGTCATTTTTTGCTTCTATATCTAACTTACTTTATTATTTTTCTAGTGCCCGTGCACGTCACAAGCCCCCCGAAACCATCGAATGTGAAGCTGAACCCTGGCGACACGTTGATACTGAGATGTGAGGCTGTCGGAGTACCCGTTCCATTAATTTCATGGCGTTTGAACTGGGGACACGTCCCACCGAAATGTACCTACACTAGCGATTCCGGAATTGGTGTCATAACATGCCCCAACATGCAGGTTTGTTGGAGTTTCCAAGTCTCTTTATTTCTTACTTGTTGTACGATACGGGGCTTACAAGTGTAAGAAAGCTATGCTTCCATGCAAATAAGCCGGCTTGACCGGAATGATAGCACGAACGTCACAGAATACTGAAGTTTCTGAAAGCCGAAACCTTTTATCCCCCCCCGTTTTCAATCCCCAAATCCCTAACAGCCCTAATAAGCCATAAAAAGCCAGCAACTACAAAGTCATAGTCATTAGCCATAAAGGTGGCGCCTATTTCTTACCAATCAGTATCATAAAACTTTAAAACAACTTGGTCTTTTGGAAAGACTTGGTACATCACCATAAAACACTTGCCATTTTAAATATTGTTATTTACATTTTAGCCTGAAGATAGCGGTGCTTACTCCTGCGAGGCAATCAACAACAAAGGCACCACCTTTGCCGCGCCAGATTCTATTGTCTTCGTCAACAAGACCGACCCTTGCCCTCGTGGATATTTCAACAAGTAAGACAACAATTTACAAATAAATACTATAAAGGGACCTATAATCACTCGTGACTTTCTTTACTGAATACAATTAATTAGTTACTTCATACAATCCATTTTAAACAATACTTATATCTCCTTCAATCTCCTGTATCAATAAAGCATATCCACCGTTTTACAGTGAGGCCCGTTCAGAAAGCGAATGCATCCGATGCTTCTGTTTCGGAAAGTCCAGCCAGTGTCGCAGTGCCGATCTATTCACATACAATATGCCTACACCTCTCGGAGAAGGAGGCACTAGACTTATTGGAATCAGGAACTCCCCATCAGGAGATGTCATCATTGATACTCAACCGATCTCAAACCAGTACTATTACCAACCTTTGAGGAATGGCGCCGCGGTAAGTATCAAATACCTTGTGTATGCTGTCAAATAAAAATCATTCAAGGGAAACGTACGATGGTACGATTTTGACAATTTTCTCTCATATCATTTCAGGTAACGAAAATTGACACATCTGGATGGTCTAATGCACATCCCTACCTGACTCTGCCCGAATCCTACAATGGCAACCAGCTGAAGTCCTATGGTGGGCACATCAAGTACACTGTGTCACCACACACTCAAGTGTATGGCTTCGATGATAGCATACCGACAATTATTATCAAGGTGTGTTTCTTAACATAGAAAAATACGAATTGAAAACAGCAATAATCTTACAATTCTAAACCCCACCTTTTTGTTTAGGGTAAATACGGAAACCTCTTCCACATTAGCCGTGCTGGTGGCTCACGTGACTTAAATATTGAAGCCCGTCTGACCCCTGAAGACTGGATGAAGAACAGCTCTAGTGGTTACACACCAGCTTCCAGAGAAGACATTATGATGACGTGAGTATTTAATAGAATTGCTTTAGTTATTAAATAAAGTCTTCGGTAAATATTGGTCTCACGTTATATTTTCAATTTTAGACTTGATGAGATCGAAATGATCCTCTTACGCTCTGACCTGAACAATGCTGGAGTAAACATTACCGACTTCGCTATGGAATCTGCTGAGCATATCAACGTTGGACTCGGTGCCGCTAGTCTTGTGGAAGAGTGTACTTGCCCCAAGGAGTACGTCGGACTTTCTTGCCAGGTAAACAATGGGCAAATATTATATTCCGTGGTAAAGCTTGAAGATGTGAAAGTCTTCTAACAATTGCAATTTATTTTCTAGAAATGCGCTTCAGGCTATATTCGCAAGAAGGTTGGACCTTGGCTCGGAGACTGTATGCCCGAAGAATGCCCTCTTGGAACCTACGGTGATCCAGCCAGCGGCATACCTTGCAAACCATGCCCATGTCCCTTGACTAACCGCGAAAACCAGTTTTCCAGGACTTGCTCACTAGGATCCGATGGAAGTGTCTACTGTGATTGCTTCCCTGGGTAAGAATTGTTTTCAGATACTTGAAATTCTATTGAACATCTAAACAAAGTTACTAATTTTCTATGGTCATTGGTTTTGTTTTCAATATTATAGCAAAATTACCGTGCAAAGTTCAAACTAGGTTGCGCCTACACCTCGTCGCTAACAGATGTTAGCGGGCGCGCGAAGTTTGTAATAATTAGTAACAAAAATGAAACCAATATACAGAAAAAAAATCTGTGGTAAAATTGTTTATCTGTTACCAGTTACCCTAAATAATACTCCATCTTAGTATGGTTTTTCATCTTCTTTAAATATTAATTTGCAGTTACGAAGGCAAGCACTGTGAAGTATGTGCCCCTGGATATGAAGGCAACCCAATGATTCCTGGAGACTCTTGCAAACCTGCCGTCAGGGACAACTGCAACCCTACTGGTACCAAGGTCATCCGGCCACCCGATGAGTGCGTCTGCAAGGAGAACGTGCAGGGACGCTACTGTGATCAGTGCAAGAACGACTCTTTCTACTTGTCCTCTGACTTTAGGTAATAACTATCACCGATTATATAAGCTATTCAAAAGTTTTATAAGTAAATACATTTTTACAATATAGGTATACGAGTGAGAGTCAAGCCATCTCAAAGTTGAAAAAAGATTCTGTACTTAAGCCAATTATGATTCCTGACAATGAGATCATTTTCAAATAACGTGGAACCAGGTCTTAATGTTCTGCGATATCAAGTGACTATGTATCAGATTAATTTAATTGCAGAAACTTATTTTTGTCATCTTTTATTAACTGGATAGATGAAGTTGTTCCTAAATGGTTACTTCTACTATTTCAGACATGGCTGCGCGCTTTGCTTCTGTTCCGGTGTCTCGCAACAGTGTATGAGCAGCAACCTACGCCGCAAGACTATAAGTGTACAATTTAACGTACCTCAGATCGTAGACCAGGTCAAGATCTACAACATCTCCCCAACTGGACCACCCGGCTCAGTCAGATACACAGCACCAGTGGAAACTGAACTTAAACCCCAGTTGTACAGGGGTGATATTTCCTTCGACCAACTCGACCGCTCACAATCCACAATTTATTACTGGAGTTTGCCTGCCAGGTAATTTAAATACTTTCAGATTTTGCATCAACTGCGTATGTCAATTTATTCTATACTCAAGTTACAAATAACATGAATCTTTCTGAACAGCTTCGCTGGTGACAAGGTGACATCATACGGAGGTTCACTACGCTACATGCTAAAGAACGTTCTAAACTCACCCGATGCAAGATACAGAAACACCGCAGCTGACGTCCAACTAATCAGCGTGAGTACTTTATTAAAAACTATAAAAAATGAGTGACTAAAACAAAAATCGGAGAGAAGGTTATCATTGTAAATTGATGTTTACAGAAAAACCGTCTCACATTCCATTACTTTGGCGATTTCGTTGCTTCCCACGAAGGTATTTTGAACGCCAGCGTACAGTTCCTTGAAAAGGGATGGCAGAGGTAAGTGTGTCATTCATGGACTCTTTATTTAAAGTATATTTTTTTGCTATTGTGTCCATTAATCCCTAATCTTTTTCCTAAACAGACCTGATGGCAAGGAGGTGTCTCGAGAGCACTTCCTGCTCGCACTGGCTGACGTTAAGACAATCTTGATTAAGGCTACTTACTCTCCTGGCACGGAATTAGCTTCACCAGTCAGCGCCAGCATTGAGACCGCAGAACCTGACGGCTATGGCCCCACAGCATTCCACGTGGAACAGTGTATTTGCCCTCCTGGTTACATTGGAACTTCTTGCGAAGACTGCGCACCTGGATACAAGAGGTGAGTTTGAACAAAATGGGATACTTTTTTTTTAAAAAAAGAACTTATTTACGTAACTAAGTCAGACTTACACCCGGTTTCCGAAAGGCCGATCAATGTTAAAATCAATTTAATCTCTTATCAAGTCATGTGATTGGTTGACTGAATTATCAACAACCAATCAGATGACTTGACAAGAGATTTAACAGGAGATAAGTAAATTTTAGCGTTGACAAGCCTTTCAGAAACCGGGTGTCAGTCACATACTTCCACCGATCCTCATTTCACATCTTACTTTTATTTCTTTTACAAATAAAGTTTTTGAACGAGGAATTCGATTTTGGGAATGTTAGCTACAAAATAAAAATCTATATTTCAGGAGCTCAAGTGGTCTGTACTTGGAACTCTGCGAGCCTTGTGAATGCAACGGTAAATCGAACATGTGCAACCCAGAAACCGGAGTTTGCTACGTAAGTTATTCTATGAACTTAAATATAAAAAGGAAAAAAGGATTATAAATAAAGTATAAACAGCTGAGAGCCAATAGACCACAACAGATATGGCCTACAGGGCTGAATTTCAGCCAGATTTGCGGATCAAGCGCCATAATATACCGCGACCTCGGCCTGGACCAGGAAAAGGAACGGAATGGTTTCTAGTCTGTTAGAGTCTTATACTCCTTTATACGTCACTCAAAGCGCATGCAAAGTCATTTGATGATTCCCTTGAAAAAAATATATTTTTATTAATACTAGCGGACCTTCCCTGAAAAAAATATCAAATTTCAGCGAAACCGTTAGAGTCGACTCCGTGATCACATGGTTTATCTAGCATTCAGCGCAATCTTTGTGAATGTTAACCATCCAGAGCACCACTCTAACGCATACAGAAAAAAACATTTATATCGGTTAAGCCGTTTAGGAGAAGTTCTATGACATACACACATGCAGTATAATTATAATTATATATAAAGATAATTAAACCTAGTCGCAAGAAAACCATTAAAATTATTTTCTTCATTCAGGATTGTGCTGATAATGCTGCTGGTGATGAGTGCGAGCTTTGCAAGCCTGGCTATGAACGTGACCCCTATGGAAACTGTGTTGAACAGCCCTCTAGCACTGTTCAGCCATGCCGGTAAGCCGACGTGATTATAACATCAAGAAATGAAAAGTTTTTCTAATCCATCAAACCCACTCAAATGCCAGTTTTTGCGCTCCTGATTTGTTCTTGTATTGTGTCTCGACATGTCACGACTGAAACGTTAACTAATTAGTCTACAAAGACGGATTACCTAATGGTAAGCAATCAGACATTTGCAATACCAAAGCAGTTACTGCGAACTCTGAAAGGACCTTATAATCAGGGGTACAATAATGTATACAAAATGTATTATTAATTGTGAAATTGCAAAACAAATTTTTAAAAAGAGTAACGTTGGTGCGTATTGCTCGTTCTTCTACATTCGAATTTAAAAAAATGTAACGATTGAGTTTCTTTCTCGTTCTTCTCCATTCAAATCTACAATTTGGAACGAACACTTAGCTTCACTAACGAACAGACTGACAGACTAATGAGATTCTATTTTGACGATTCAAAAGTACCTACCTATCTATGGTTTAGTTGGAATAAATGATCTTGATTTGAACCCTAGAATGCAAGCTGTATCACTTGTATCATCTATAATCATCTTCGTGTTCTAGATGCGACCCTCGTGGAACAACAGCACCCTGTGACAGCAACGGCAACTGTTTCTGCAAACAGAATGTTGAAGGAGATTCCTGCGACCGTTGCCGACCTGGTTCCTTCGGACTCGACAGCAACAACCCTAACGGATGTTTGTCCTGCTATTGTTCTGGCGTTTCTTCTGATTGCCACGAAGTGAGTCATACTTATTTATTTCATATTTTATTTTTATTATAGAACAGGGGCAAAGCGATCGCTTGGATCACCTGATGGTAAGTGATTTGTGCCGCCCATTAACATCTGCGGCACTAGAGCAATCACAGGCGCTGCTGAACCTTTAAAGGAGTACCCTCCTTTCTTGGATTTCGTCTTTCATTGAGCGTTTAGCGGTGCTGACAACAAATTTTTCGTTGACCTCAAATTATTGTTGTAAATGTACAATATTATATGCCTTCTATGTCTTTAGGGCAACCACTTCACAAGAGTGCCAATCGCAGCGCCGGTGCTTGGCGACAACTACGGTGGTTTTACGATCACTGATTTGAACGCCGAAAGAGTCACCCAAGATAACTTCCAACCTATGTTCCATCAAAGCGAGCTGGTCTACACATTCCCCTTCAGACCTGATATTGAGCTGTACTGGTCATTGCCCATCTTCCCTGGTAAGATTATATGATAATACTTCTACATTATGAGCAGCTATACACCCTCACCCGCGTAATAAAACAAACAAAAAACAATACATAGTTTTGTTACATAGTCATTTTAAATAAATATCAAAACAAAATATTATTCTAGACTTCATACTATTTATTACAAGTTTTCCACTGATAAGTTCTTTTATAAAACAAAAGGCCAAAGATATATCTAACTACACACAGAACAGAAAATTAAACTATGAATATATTTGCTCCTCGCAGGCAACAGAATTCTCTCCTACGGTGGTTCTATATCGCTGAGACAGAAGTTCAATTCTGACGTATACTCAATGTCTGAACGTGGAACCGACGTCGTTCTTGACGGTGGTGACATCTCCATCTACTGGACCAACCCTAACCAGTTCCCAGTTGGAGTTTCTTACGTAAGTCATTACCAGTTGATCATGTCAAATATTAAAGAATAATAATTATAGTTTAGTATTCATGCTAAAGTTTTTTATCCTACGAACGAGTACTAGTATCATATTGCTGCTAATGTACTTCAACAATAATTTATTTCCTCAGAGCTACCAAATTCCTCTGAAAGAAGATGGATGGTACATCTTAAACACCGTTACTCCAGCAACCAGAAGCAACTTCATGAGTGTGCTTAGGAACTTGAAGAGGGTGCTCGTGCGAGCTACAGTTGTCCCCATTATCGATGACACAACAATCGCTGATGTTTCTATGGATACAGCTACAGAAAACTACGACCCTATCCTTCCAGCTGCTAAGGGCATTGAGGTAAATAAAAAAACCTAAGAAGATATATCTGATAATATAATAGTGATGTAATTGATATCTAATGGTATTATTAATATTACAGATCTGTATGTGCCCGCCCGGCCACTCTGGAACCAGTTGTGAGACCTGCAAAACAGGCTACTACAAGGACCAACGCGGTAACTGCCAGCAGTGCCCATGTAACGGCAATGACTGCCAACTCAACAGCCAAGGACAGGTGGTCTGCAACTGCCAACCACCATACACTGGCTACGATTGCTCAACTATCGGTAAGCCACCAGTTCAAGAAATCCCATAATTCTAACTAGCAGATATTTTATATAAAATAGGAAACAACAGAAATACCACATGATTCAGAACATAACAAAACTTCACAGTTCTAAAAAGCTAGAAATGGCAAGTAGGCAAGCAATTCTTGAAAATACATACCTATACATATATACATAATATTTACTTAGGCAGGTTTTCTTTTTGATATCAATCTTCTTATGTACGAATAAAATTTTACTGGACAACCAATAGGATTGGTAATGGAACTACATCCGACAATCCACGAAGCTGGTGATGACCCTTACTCAAGAAAGGTGACGTTTACATGCAAATACCGAGCACCAGAACCGCTCACTATAAAGTTCTACCACGAGGGGGCGGAACAAGATCCTCCAAAGTATTATTACGAAGCGAGACGCCACAAGGACGGGTGGCACTCAACCCATGTCTGGCACACTGTCTGGGACGCCAGACGACAAGGGGACACTTACGAGTGCCACACTATCACCGAAAAGGGATTCACCCTCGGTGTACTGACCACCACTTTGCCGGAGCCAGGTAGCCGACCACAACCGAAGGTGCTTCGGGCGTCCGTCTAATGTCCTCGTGCCTTATGTTATGCTTCGAATAGGCATCATTCGTTAATGTGGCTCAAGTTCAATCAGTCGTGACATTTAACAATTATACAATAACTACCTACATATGTTTTGTCCTTCACTGCCGCTATATGTGTAGCGATCACAATAATATCTAATTACAAAATGTTGTGAATGTCCATCTCGTCTATAACCATTCATACTATAAGCAGATTATACTCATTCGTGACGTTACGTATCTTATACCTACTCGTAGTTTCTGTATCGTTAAAGTTCTCGTTATGTTTAAATTATATCTTCTAAACGATTTATTTATAAATTAATTTGTTGCTTCTTTCTATTGCCTCATTATACTTACTTACTTGTTCAATCCTACTTCGTTTTCATAGAACTAGGTCCAATATCATAAATATTTAAAATAAAAAAACATTAGTACTTGATGTCCAAATTGTATCTTAATAAAAACAAATTGATGGTTTACTATATTTTAAATAATCTAACGCGTGGTATGTGATGTAGGTGGCGATTCATCAGTAACAGCAATTCCACCACCACAACCAGAACCAACCGTCGAGGTGATGATCACTAGCCCGACTATCAAGATCCAGGAAGTCGGAAGCAGCGTGAACTTTACTTGCCGAGCCCAAAGCCGTAACTCAAGAATGCGTTTGCCTGTCAGATGGATTAAGAGTGGAGGAGAACTGCCTCTTGGTCGATACCAAATCGATGAGAATGTCGGCCTTCTTCTGATCACAAATCTACAAGTCTCCGACAGCGGTAAATACATTTGCGAGACTGATGATGGAGTCACCACTGCCCAAGCTATTGCTACCCTCAAAGTGCCCGGTAAGTACATCAACATATTATTTACCTTTTATTGGCATAGAATTATAGAACTGTGCATGACTGTTTCATACGTTTTATTGTAAGTTGTGTGACTCAATAATGTAATTATTCTTTCAACTTCTTTTAACTTTACGCTTTCATTCTTGGAATAGTTGTCCCTCTCTGGATTTTTTACGCACGAGGTCAGTTATTCTAGGTGGAGATTAACGTGATGTATAAAAAATTGGTTACATAACCTTTAAGTATGTTTCTCACTGTGAACTTCGTTTTAGGAAATGAGATGACAATGCCAAGCGTGGAAATATTCCCGCCAGTGAACGACTATTATGAAGGAGACTTCGTCCAGCTGGAATGTCGCGTAAGAGGCAACCCCACTCCAACTATCACCTGGCAGAGAGGTTCTAACAAACTTCTCCCATTGTCTTCCTCATCTTACGATACCCGCTTTGAAATTGAAAACGCCCGAGTGGAAGATTCTGGAGAATACAGGTAAGGATATTTTTTTTGACGTAGTTAATCAATAGAATGAACTTTATTATGAATGTATTCTCAATAACATTTTTCCGTGCAGATGTATCGCAAGCAACACTGTTGGATCTGCTGACCGCATAGCAGTTATCACAATTAGACAGCGACCATCGTGGCAGCCGAGTGACAAGCTTACAGTCTCAATCCCATCTCCCACAGTCGATGAGGGCCAAAGCATAATGATCGCTTGTACTGGAACTACTAACATCCCTGCTGGATCGATCGACTGGGTCAGGTAAGAAATAAGCAACATAAAAGCATTACGACGAACCAATTTTTACCATTTCTGGACTTTTTTTATGAAATTTCGATATTTTCCACAGGAAAGACAACGCCGTATTCCTTTCTAACGTGAGATCAGAAAATGGTGTCTTGTACATTGACTACGCGCAGCCTGATAATCAAGGAGTGTATATTTGCCAGTCCTCATTGTCTAACGTACCGCCAGTGCAAGTACTGGTTACCGTTGTACCTGCAGAACCAGTTCAAGAAACCTATAACATCTCGGCTTCTGTAGACCGTCTGAAGATTCCAACTGGTGGCAGTGGAACCGTTGATTGTAACGTCTCTGGACGTCCCACTCCACTCATCAAATGGACTAAAGTAAGATTTGAAACTGACAAATTTTATACTCTTTTACATTTTGCAATAGAAATAGAAATTGATTGTTATTTGTCATTTTCCCACAGCACGATGGCTCCCTCGGTTCTGATGCCAGCCAACGCGGTAACACGTTGATCATCAATAACGCTAAGGAGAGCGATCAAGGATACTATCTCTGCGAGGCCAGTGTTGGGCCCAACGCGGTTGCCAATTTATATGTCTTCGTTGAAATTGAAAGTGAGAATATTGCTTTTATGTATTCTAATAGATCTGAAAACTTAATTAATATGCTTAGAGTTCTTGTGTATAGTGTTGAAAATAAATGTTGGAGATCAGTATATGATATTCTATATTTTTTAGGACGCGAACCACCCAGAGTTGAGATTTGGCCACCAGAAGATAAGGTCCAGGCAGTACAATTAGGAGGAGAACACACCTTGATCTGTCGAGTACTTGGAGGCATTCCTGAGCCAGATGTGACATGGAACAGGAATGGAGGACGTCCTCTATCTAGATTCACGGAAATCCGCCCTCACCATGAACTGAAGTGAGAAATTCTTTCAATGTCTGGTTATTGCTAATTAAAAACATCTTTTCATTTATTCTATAATGTTGGTTTTATCTCGGTCCAATTTCTTCAAAAAAGAAAAGTATTAATTACCTATTTTATCCATAGGTTTACCAAGATTGAAGTTAACGACGAAGGAGAATACACGTGCACAGCGCGTAACGACGCAGGAACAGCCAGTGCTAGTGCCATCATCAAAGTGAGGGCCCTCCCTGAAATCACTATCTCGCCCAACCCGTACGTGCAAGTCTCCGCTGGCGAGAGCATCAACATCGAGTGCAGAGCCAATGGATACCCTGAGCCTTTAGTCTCCATCCAATGTGAGTAGCAGAAAGCTCTCTTACTTCTTTTCTTTTCTTCTTTATCCATTCTGGTTTCTTTTCTTTTCTTATTTTATCTTTTCCTGGTCTAACTGTGATGTATATGTGAAACTGTATGTTTGTAAACACACCCACGGTACAGGGTAAAATTCTAAAGTGGGGTAAGGTACTTTTTGAAAATTGTAATTCAGATTACAGAATCCGTTAAAGTCCAAGAATTTTCGAAGACTACAAGTTTTCATTGATGGCTTCTTCCTTTGTAAGTAAAAATATTTTTTCTCTTACAGTCGGCGATTACTCTGATGTAGTCCCAGCTTCTTATGGCCACACCTCGTTGCAAATAGCATCCGCAAGTGAGGCAAACAGTGGTTTCTACACGTGCACAGCCACTAACGCCGCTGGCACCACGAAGGAACAGTTCAGAGTAGTGGTTGATAGAGGAGACGGCGGCGACGACGGTGGTTTCGACTATGGTAAGTGTTTTGCCAATAATATAAACAGCAACTCTCAAATAAATAAATTATCGGAATCAGAAAATTCGCATTAACGACCACGCTTGCTCACGGCGGATTTGCGATTTCAAACGACGAAATTATAAGTCCAGGTTTCCTTACGATGTTTTCTTTCACCGTAAGTCAGCGGTGTCTGTATCATAGAAAATATATATAAGTACCCCGAAAAAGTCACATTGGTACTTGACAGGTGTCGATCCCGTGCCCTCATGACACTTTAAAAATTTAATGAAAATTATAACCAAACTGCTAATAACACTTCTTCATTCACTCTGCTCACAGGAAGCGGTGACGGCGAGATCGACCCCGATGCACCTGGATATCCCGAAAGACCTGACGAGGTTCCTAGCAACCTTATCACCATCGAAGGACAACCAGAAACTATCTTATCGTTAGTACCAACAACTAATATAATAAAACCATTGTTTTTAGTATCTACCACTAAATATGCTTGATATTGCAAAAACACGATTTAGTTGGAGTTAGATAAAGATACTGCACGTCGATTCTATAAAATTTGTTTGATTTTGAATCGTGTTCGAGTTCGAAGTGAGTGTCGGGGAAATTAAATTTTAGAATGCCAATTTTAACGTCATTTCATACTTTATCTATCAAAATGATGCTGTCAATTTAGGTCAACTCGCAAGTGTAGCGCTAGTGTACTACTACTCACGGCGGATTCAGATTCGAAGTTTAGAATGAAGTCTTACAGAATCACACTGCTGATGTAGTATACGAGCTTAGCTTCACCGTTTTAATCTCTATATGTAGAGGCTCATAAAGGTCGATTTTAAAAGATCTTAATTAACTGTGAACGTTACCTAATGATACATCTATCTATACTAATAAATATATATTAATCAAGATTATTAATTGAAATATTTCTATTAATTTATCTTGTTTAACGCTTAGAGATTGCTGGTTATGTAGTAAGTATGTGTTGAACAATTAATTACGTTTAAATAAAGTTGTTTGTAGCGTGATTTATTTTAGCACGTAGCTTTCCTTAATAAATGGACAAAAAATTTAAAATATTAAAAAGCGGTAAAACTTGTAAGTCTTATATGTAGGGACTTATACTTGGAACCGCTAGTTGGATTTCCAAAATTCTTTCACTGGTAGATAGCTACAATGTTCCTGAATGCTATAGGCTAAAAACCATCACGCTACTGTCAAATGGAGCCGAGCAGCGGGTGAAACCGCGCGAAAGTGGCCATTGTGTAGATAATTTTTGCTTTATAATTTTGCCCTCTAACTAGTACGAAAAATAACCACTAACCGATCCTCAGACCTACTGATTATGAATAAGAATTCGGTAAAAACCATGACAGTAAAGTCATTTTGAAGCAGTAAGGTAACTAACATTGTGATATGCGAATTTGATACCTATACTAGCGGCCTACCCCTGTATAGCACGGGTAGCCAACTATTTTCTCGGTAGCTGTGTCCTAATCCTTCCCCTTCTACTTTCTTAATTTTTCTTGCATAAGAACCGTCTTATTTTATTTGATAATAAAAATACAACCAAACAAGAATTGGCCACATTGGTCCAGGCCACATGTCTAGGCTTTGTTGGGTTATGCGCTTACCAAACCCAATTTAATATTCATTTTATACTATAGTTAAGATTAAAACAATTTCGTTTTGAAAAATAGTCCCTTACAGAGTAAATTGTGGTTACAGTTGCCGTCAACCTGGCGTCAACGTGAGGTGGGACCGTGCGGACAGGATGCCTCTGCAACCTAACGCCACTCCGGACCGCTCAAGACTGATTATCTACAATGTAAGTGAAAATCAATTATTCTGGTCTAACTTCAACATGATTTTTTATATATCATCTACTGTAAAAAAAGACCATAAAAGACCAAAAAAACCATAAAAGCGGGAAATAAAACAAATTTTCAATGTTATTCGAATGGGATTCCTATCTCAACCTTAGATCGATTAAAAGCTGTTATAAAAAATATTGTAATATAAGTGTCCGTTGCTGAGCAAAGGCCTCTTCTCACACATAGAAGGTCTGCGCAGTAATTACCACGCTTGATCAATGCAGATTGACGATTTCAAACTTATAAATAGAAATTATAAATCCAGGTTTCCACACGATGTGTTACTTCAAACGTCAGTGGTGTGTATAGCTCGAAAAAGTCACAATGGTATTTGCTAGGTTTCTGCATCCTCATGCATGAGAAGCGGCCTTCTTAACACAAAATTACAAGTACCCATCGTATTTATAACTTAAAAAACATTAACTTGACTTCAGGTCTCGAAGAGTGACTCTGGACAATACGTGTGCAACATTTACAACCAGTTCGGCGAAGTACAACAGTCTATCTACACAAGTCTGGTTGTAGTCACTGCACCGAAGATTACTCTTCGCCCTCCCATTCAGACCGTACATCCTGGACAATCACCAATAGTTGAATGCATCGTTGAAGGTGATGACATTATTGACATCACATGGATACCCCACAACAGGCAGCCATCGAAGTAAGTACAGAAAACTTTGTGACCTTTGTTGTAATTCATTGAAAACACGCCTTCGGTTTATTTATTGAAAATACAGTTCTACTAGTTTCAAGTCACACTGGGACTCTTATCGTCAGATCACCGCGTCGACGTCGCGCAGTCGACTCTTTTAATCACTCTTAAACTTCTTGAGATTTTGTTGTAAATATTGATTGATTCCATTGTTATTTTCACTTTACAGCCGTGTAGATACCCGGTCATCCAGACTAATCTTCAACCAGATTGAAGTTGAAGATGCCGGCCGCTACGAATGTTTCGCCAGAAGCAGATACGCCAATGCAAGTGCAATCGCCGAGGTCGTCGTCAGCGGTATGTTACGGACTTTCTTAAACACTTTATAGCATGGTCACCAACAGCACAAAACTGTACGGTAGATTACCATCGAAATTGATAGAAATACAACATAATCGACGATAATTAACAGACATTAAAACATAAAAGCAACCAAAACTAGCAGCGAATGCAAACTTTTCATAAAATTTAATTAATTACTTATCTCATAACACAGTCTAACGATAACATAGACACTGGTAAATAATTTATTGAAATTAAATAAAATGAAAATATAATAAATCCATGAAGAGAATACTTACTTGTTAGACTGTGGTATTATTCCCATAACATCTTTGGACGTCTTCTATCAATTTCGATTATCACAAAGACACAACACAGTTGTACATAGTACAGGTTGCACAGAATGTTAAGGCACCTGTTATTTTATTTGCCGTTCAGTTGTGCTGTCTGAATGCTGGTCACCAACATCACACCTAATGGAACCACCATTCATTGAATGCTTTACATTTTAATTTGACATTACCAATTGCGTGTACGATACTCTTCATTTAAAAGACCAGATAATATAGTCAAAAGAAAATCTGTGGCTCGTCTTATTAATTTATGAAATATAAACTTGAGGTCAATTCCACGTACACGCGGTTGGTAACGCTTGAGGGTTCAGTTGACTGCATGAAAATAACATCCATAGAAGATACGGATCATACGGCGTCGGTGTCGCACGACAATGAGCAGAGGGCACACGTCGGCGCCGCCGTGCACCTCAGCTGCAACGTGTCGCAACAGCACGTCCGCATCGTGTGGTCCAAGGACGGACGCGCCCTCCCCCGATCCGTGAACCAGAAGCTAGACGGCTCGCTCTACATCAGGCGCGCGCAAAAGTCCGACTCAGGAAAATATGTTTGCAGCATCCAAGACCTCAATAGAAGAGTCATAACTAGCAATTACATCAACCTGCACATCCAGGGTCAGTTTCACCGACACGTCAATTAGTCAGCTTAATTCCAGTGGTGGCGCTGCAATGTTTCTGCTTCGCCCAATCGTTTAAAGTAACCAGGCATGCGTAGCCGTATAATTAATATAGCATTCCCTAACTTCTAGCCCATTTCCTAATTTTTCTATATTTCCGTTTTATCTTTTTATTTTTGATAATTTTTAAAGTTTGTATGAGTTGTAATAAAGCTGTAATTTTTCGCTCGCAAAGGTTTAAAGTGCTTGGATACGGAGTATCCTTGTAATGACAACAGTGGTTGTGTAGACGAACAGTTTCTATGCGATGGACACAGCCACTGTCCAGACAATAGCGACGAGGAAAACTGCTTGTGGCGAGATAAACGTTATTTGGAGAGCACACGGAACAAGTACCTCTCACACGATGGTAAATCTGGTGCGGTTGTGTTGAACAGTTGTCTGTCTAGTCAGGAACGCGGTGTTGTGCTGTTCGTAACTCAACCGCCTACTATGTACTGTCATGGGATTAAGTTTTGTGATAGCCTGGTTCAGAGTTTGGTGCATCTTTGTATTCCCTTTGTATTGTAGTTTTGGAAATGTCTTGGAACGAATATAGACAAACATTTATATATGATAATATAATTATGATTGTATTGCCTACTTTATTTTAGTTGGTGTTCGCGTCTCGTATACATTTGTATTGAATTGGTGACTAACGAGTTTGTGATTGCTTACTGTGCCATCTCATATATTTTATTCGATGAGTTTTAACAAATTGTCTGCGGCTTCTGTGAAGTCGGACGCTGGGTTTGCATGTTAGCTTGCATTTACGTCTGATTTTGGTATTTCTATTTTACAATGAAGCTATGTATATGCAGGTGGTGTATTAATGTAAGTAGATATATTTTATGCCCTGGGTGGGGAATGCTTTCAAGGTCTACCATCTATGTTTGTTTGAGATAGGCTAATGAGTACATAATGTTTTAGGTCCTCGAGAACCGACCCCTGAACCACAACGGTTGGTATCGATCGATCAACCACGAAGGCAGTTCAGAGTTGGGGACAATGTAGACGTGCTGTGCAAGGCTCGGTCTGGGAACATCAGACTGCAGTGGCTGCGCGTCGGAACCAACCAATACGTTGCCTCCTTGGTAAATACTTTCTGTTCCAACTATCAAATTCAAAATAGGCAGTAATAAAACTGCAAAGAAATAACTAACATCACAATATGATTATTTTACAGACTTATGGTGATGGAGTGAGGCTTTCTCTGACCGGAGTGACCAATAGTGACGCTGGAGTGTACCGCTGTATCGGCAGCGACGATCGTGGCCGCACATTCTATGACGACTTCAACCTTGAAGTTGAATCCGGTATGTATTTTCTTTACCTATTTAAAATGATGGAACACTTAACGTTTTTTAAATGAAGGAACTATTAAGTTTTAAGGTGTTAAACACACAATATTACAATATTTAAACCACGATTTTTGTCCCACTATCAGGCGGACCATTCTACCCAGACAACAGGGACAGAGAAGTATCTGTCGCCCAGTACACCGCTCATCTGCGTGACTCAGTTGACCTACCGTGCAACCACAATTTGGAACACCCTGTAACTATCGAATGGAGACGAGAGTTCTCATCATTACCTGCCGAAGTCCGTGCTGACCAGGTAACTAATCAATCACATCTTCATGAAGAGAATTGAGACAACTTTCAAGCATTATTCCTACAATACAATATTTTACGACAGGATTGAGATTAAAGGTTTATTATTTACTACCTTTTGCTTGCGACTCCGTTCGCGTGGAATAGTGACTTCTTGTAGATTTTTGGTATAAAAACGTGTATGTCATTTCTCGAGTTCTAAACTATGTCTGTACCAAATTTCACAGAATCGGTTCAGTAGTTTAGGCGTGAAGAAAAGATAGACAGACAGAGTTACTTTCGCAATTATAATACTAGTTTGGATTCTTATTAAATATCTACTTTCAGCCAAACCTCTACCTGAACTCCGTGACTGAGGCGGACGCCGGTACCTACGTGTGCCGTGTCAGCAATAGCCGCGCCACTGTTGAAGCTCGAGCCATCTTGACTGTGACCGGAGTAGTTCCACGCTTCAATGGAGATGGCTTCGTCTCTCTACCAACATTGAGGGATCCTTACAAGCAGTTCGACATCGAAATATCGTTCAAACCTGCCGGTAAATAATTATTTACTTATTATACATTACTAACGACCCGGCTTCGCACGGGGGCAATGCTAATATTAAATTTCGTATATATATTCTTATAAATATAAACCTTTCTCTTTAATCATTCTATCTATTACGAAAAGCCACATCAAAATCCGTTATGTAGTTTTAAAGATTTAGGCATAATGTATCCTTCAATACAGAGAAAGCTGCTTTGTTTTATACTATGTCTGTCTTAACTCAACCTTATGTTTTTCTATTACAGACAATAATGGCCTGATTCTCTACAACAGCGAGAACCAAGGTCGCATGGGTGACTACATAGCTCTGCACCTTAGGGACGGCGTACCTGAGTTCATCATGGACACTGGCACTGAACCACTGATTGTGAAGGGAGATCGCCCCTTGTTGTTGAACGCTTGGCATACAATCAGGGTGTCTAGAACCAAGTCTAAGGGTAAGCTAAATTTGTCCAATGGTTTCTTAACTCCAGTAATAATTGACTGCACGGTTGGCGCGATGGCTGGGCAATTGGCTGCCGCGTAACGTGTCGCGGTTCCGATACCCGCATGGAACAACCATTTGGGTGATTCCCAAATTATTGTTCCGGGTCTGGGTGTGATGTGTATATGAAATGTATGTTTGTAAACGCACCTACGACACAGGAGAAAATCCTAGAGCTGGGTAACTAATGTTTTTTAAGAAAAAAGAAATGATTTAACTAACAATGTCGTTATTTTTGCTACAGTAACGATGGACGTCGATAACACTGGACCTTTCATTGCGGAATCTCCTGAACAGTGGGCGGTGCTTGAACTGAAACAACCTCTGTACATCGGAGGTGTGCCTGATTATGACCAACTACCCATCGATCTGGCTGGAACATCTGGGTAAATACTTTTTACGTAATTAAGTGTGGGAGAGCCATGCTTCGGCACGAATGGGTCGGCACGACCGGGGTGTTACCACGGCCTCACAGTAAGGCGGCGTCTCACAACCACAGCGTTGTTTTCCTGTATGAGTGAGATTACCGAAGGCCCAATCCTTCCCCTCCCTCAATCCCTAAAACTCCAAAACCATAATCCCCAAAAGATCGGCAATGCAACGTTCGTAACACCTCTGTTGATGCGGCAGTCCATGGGTGGCGCTGATTGCTTACCATCAAATAATCCGTCTGCTAATCTGCCGACCCATCACAAAAAAAAAATACTTTACTCAAAGAATAATATAACCATCTTAATATTGATAATGTGGTTATAACATTCTAAATGTTTATCTTGTAATTTTACTTTTCTTCTTGCAGTTTCATTGGATGCGCTAGCATGCTGATTTTGGGCAGAGAAGAAAAGGACATCATGATGGACAGTCTCGAACGAAGCCGCGTGAGCGAATGTGACTCCTGTACTCCCAACCTCTGCTTGAACGGAGGCGTATGTCAGGTTCGTATATTTTTCTATTACAGCTGTTTTTAGGTATATTTTCTTTTTAATTTTTCCCCACAAAGTTAAATTCAGAATAATTCTCAACAACATTACCAGCCTATGAGTGCCCACTGCTGAGTAAAAGGCCTCTTCTAACACGGAAAAAGTCACATTAATCACCAGGTTTCCTCACTATGTTTTCCTTCACCGTATGTGAGCGGTATCAAAATAAAGTCACATTGGTACCTACTGGCTAGATTTCCGACCTTAACTTTCTTTTGTGAAAGAAAAATGTACTATGGTTGTTTCAAAAGCATTGATATAAATGCATGTTTTTATCATTGTATTTGTTTACAGGAGGCTCGTAACGAACGCGGTTACAGTTGCATCTGCGCTTCTGGCTACGCTGGAGTGAACTGTGACAGGACTGGTGATGCCTGCCGCCCTGGTCTCTGTGGGCCTGGCAAGTGTACCGACACTGTAGATGGATACAAGTGTGCTTGCCCCGTCACACACACTGGCAAAAAGTAAGAAGTGACTGTAACTTAGGCACCTAGAAATAACCACTGCGTTGTGTTTCGCCGTGTGAGTGAGGTTACCGGAGGCCCCAGTCCCTTCCTAGTCCCAAAATCCCAATCCTTAAAATGTCGGCAACGCACTCGTAACTCCTCCGTTGCGAGTGTCCATGGGCGGCGCTGATTGCTTACCATCAGGTAATCCGTCTGCTCGTTTGCCGACCTATTACATAAAAAAAAAAACCTCATATCTCTAATAAAAAAAAATTGCAATAGACTGCGCAGTTGGTACAGCGGCTGCTGCGCAACGTGTCGCGGTTTCGATTCCCGGACGGGACCACACTTTGTGTGATCCACAAATTATTGTTTTGGGTCTATGTGGCTTGTGTATGTGAATTTGTTTGTAAACGCAACCACGACACAGGAGAAGACAAGAGTAGACCAATGTTTAACACAAAAAAATACCCATTTTACATTATTATGTATTTAAAACAATCTAACAAATTATTTTCAATGTATAGAATCGAAATACTAAGAAAGCTATTATTTTGCAGCTGCGAAGAAAAACAATCAATTGAATACCCAGCCTTCACCGGTAGCGCATATCTAGCCATTAAGCCGCCAGCACCCTCCCGGACTCTGAGGATGTCGATGAGGATCAAGGCCGCCTCTCCTGTCACTGATGGTATAATAATGTACTGCGCGGAATCATCGCGAGGATACGGAGGATTCACATCCCTGGCTGTCCACGACGCAAGATTGGAATTCCGTTACGACCTCGGAGGAGGTGAGATTAAAAAAAACTATAATTAAAATAAATCTAAAGAAATTAAAAAGACTGTAGGGGAAAATAATTTACTTAACATTTTTTACTACTGTTGGTAACTATATAAATTAACACGGCTTATAAACATGGAGGTAGATACTTTTTTCGGGTCAATTTCTGAGGCCACATTACAGATCAGGCCAAGGAATTTGCCAAAATGAAAAAAAAAACTTAGTGTAACCCTGGACTTTCTGAGTCGTTCTTATCCACAGGAATCAAATTCGCACTTCGAAATGAACAAATAGCTTCACTACAGGATTGAGCGATGTACTGATACTCGAGTTTTTGTTATGATTTGACTTTAAAGCCAATAAATTTGTACAGAAATAATAAACTTACACATTTTCCTTCTCAGGAAGCGTACCAGTTGTCTTGGTCAGTAACAGGACCCTCCCAGCGAACGAATGGACAACCGTCCACATAGCAAGAGTCGGCTCTGTCGTCTCTCTTCGCATTAACTCGGTACACAGCTTCGAGCAGCAACTCGAGTCACCGAAACGCGTAAGTGCTAAATTGAATCTTATTCCCTTCATCATTAAGACTTGGCTTCACTTCTAAGAAGTCTTCTGGAGGATTAGCAAACTGACGTGGCAGTGGGCAGGTCATATTTGTCAAAGAACCGAAGACCGTTGGCGTAGAAGTGTTCTTAAGTGGAGTGGAGATGTCGTCTTGGCAAACGTAGGGCATCCTCCAGCTAGGTTGACTGACGATATCCTCAGAATGGTTAGATAAAAAAAGCTGAACATCGAGCTCAGTGGTGTGCAATTGGGGAGGCCTAGTAGAAGTAATGATGGATGGAGTTTTCTGTGCATGTCCATTAATTCCTTTAGTTTTATTATTACACTTTTTTGGGTTACTTTACAAAATACATATTTGTTTCTCAGGACCTGAACCTGGACACTCCAATCTTCGTGGGTGGTGTAGACGACTCTATCACCCTGAACAATAACACTGGTGTTACTGGCGGATTCAACGGATGCATCGCCGACGTGAGTACAGAATTATTGACTTTTACACCCCCTGCATCCTGCCCCTGACCTTGCATAAAGGACAAACTGATGATAGTAAATATTTCTGTAAAAATACTCTTTCTTTCTCTTGAGAAGATTCGTGGAAACAAATCTAGAAGTCAAAATATTTTAGTTGATCTCTGTAATAGATACAAAGTTATTAATTCATTGTAACGAATAACAATAGCTGCTTCTTTATTTAAACCCAATATTCCATCACCAGTCGAGAGAGAAAAAACAAAATCGAGAATACGGTTTACTAATTTCTCTTTTCGCATTTCAAATCCCAGTTATAAGTACCATGGAATCTTATAACATACATGGTATCCTACAATTGTCTATTAGATACTAAGTTCCATAATTAAATAGAATGTTCACATGTAGCCTCAGGTCATCATTTATATATACAAATCTGTAAACTAACCTAGCCTAACCTAACTCATACATGAGAAATATTTTCGCATAACGTGATATTTAGTTTGATGTTAATTCACAGTTCAAGTTGCACGGAGAAGCCGTCGACATCGTCAACTCAACCATCCAGTCAGCGAATGTGAAGGAATGCAACGCATACGTTCGTGGTGACATCCCTGATGTACGTATTATATTTTTTTATTATTTATTATTATATCTATATCTGGGGATATGATAACATTATTGAATTAAGATGCTTTCTTTACCTATCCGTAAATAAAGTCCACAAAAACCAGACTGCACACTAAACTTCCACTTTTAGATTAGTTCTCTGCCATCAAGTTTAAGACATTTTTTTCTTTGACTTTAACAAAGGAATTCGATACAACTACATTATCAAAATCCTATTTTGCAATTAACAATATCAGGATTATTTAATAAATATCGCTTTTACAGACTGAAATCGGCTGCCAGTGTCACAACGGTGGTATATGCACAACCGACTCCTCAACTTGCGCCTGCCCCGCCGGCTTCGGAGGGTCTCTCTGCGAGTACCGCGTGCCCTCATCCATGAGGTCCTCTCGCCAGCCCCCTAGCGACCCCTGCGCGATGCGACCTTGCCGCAACGGAGGAACCTGTCGACCTGACCTTAGTTCTAGAATGAATCACACTTGTGACTGCCCTCTCGGATACGCTGGTGCCTACTGCCAAATTGGTTAGTATTGGAGTTTTATTTGTCACTTAGGGTATTGTAAGTCTTTATTTGATTTAGTGGACATGTTTGAATAATATGCTCCAATTTTTTTCCTAGCACTTGAACTTCATCGCAGCGTCGGCTTCAACGGTAATGGTTACCTAGAACTTCCCGCCAATCTGATTAGATACGAAAACTTAGACGTTGACCCCGTTATCATTGCACTGGCCGTCTTCACCAGCCAGGACGGAGTATTGTTGTATCAGAAGGAGGCCCAAAGTCCACCATACTACGGTGACTACATCCTGCTGAGAAGTAAGTATATTAATTTATTGTCATCCGATTTGATTGTTGTATCTTGTGTCCCTATATAGACTTGTCTCATAAAAAAGTTAGTGTTACTAAAAAAAAACTTGCCTGACATTTGAATATTTTTGCAGTTGAAAATGGAATCGTCAAATTCGAATGGGACAATGGCGGCGGCAAGTCTGAGCTCGCCGTGAACGCTTTCGTCAATGACGGAGTTCGTCACCAGGTCAGTTTTGTTTCTCATTAGTTACGGTACCTAAGATCTATAATTAGAAATTATAAGTCCAGGTTTCCTCACGATGTTTACCTTCACCGTATGTCAGTAGTGTCTATATAATCAAAGAAAGTACATATAACTCGGAAAATGTCACATTGGTACTTGCCAGGTTTCGAACCCACACCCTCATTCATGAGGAGCGGGCCTCTTAACCTCCGGGCCACCAAGACTAATGGCTATAATAACCTTATTATAATAGTTACCTATAATACCTACCCTACATTCCCACATTCACATGAAACTTTTCTATCCTATAAATAGCTATAAATATGTTATCTGTCGTCACACAATTTAGCAACGTGATGTAGCCACGTGACCTGTAAAACCGTAATGATGTTAATTGGGCCTTCAGTTGCACCCATTTCTATAAATACAACAACAATATGACGAATCCTGTTTCAATATAATTCGATAGGTATGCCTATAGCACCTATACATTCTAATAATAATACTTCCGAACAAAACTGTATAAGTATATAAGAGTCTTACCCTTTTAGAGGTTAAGTATTAGAAATCTCCGATTACTTAAGTATATTCTGAGGTCCATTAATTAAACTATCACGATTGAGTAGTTTTCTAGGTCAAAAACAAATAAATTATTTCGACGTTTCAATACAATAAAATATTGAAAGTATACTATACTTTTATTCATCGATTTGTCGATACACTGATGCCCGGTTTCCGAAAGCCCGATCAATGTTAAAATCAACTAACTAGGCGTCAAATCTCTTCTCAAGTCATCTGATTGGTTGTTGATAATTCAATCAAAAAAATCAGATGACTTAACAAGCGATTAAATTGATTTTAACATTGATAGGCCTTCCGGAAACCGGGTGGTAATGTTCGAAATACTATGACGTCATAATTTACAGTTTCATTCAATTTCAAAAGTTTATCGACATTTGAATTAAAAGTATTGAATTTGAATAGTTGGAAACTACTATATTGCGAATAAAACCTAATAAGGTGGTTTTTAATCAGTAAGAGTCTGATAGGCCTTTACGAATCTTCCAAGGTTAGAGGTATTTGATGATGTTTGATCCCTTATCCGTGACAAAAGAAAACCATTTATGTTAGGATCTGGTTCTCGGGCTAGAGAAACTCACCGCACAGAAGAAACCGTATATTGAAAACACACTAGGTCGGCAAACGAGCAGACGGATTACCTGATGGTAAGCAATCAGCGCCGCCAATGGACACCCGCAACGGAGGAGTTACGAGTGCGTTGCTGACTAGGTACTGTTGCGGATTAGGGATTTGGAGATTTAGGAACTGGGGAGGGATTAAGGAAGGGGAAGGATTGGGCTTCCGGTAACCTCACTCACACGGCGAAACACAACATTGTGGTTGTTTCACGCCGGTTTTCTATGAGGCCGTGGTATCACTCCGGTCGAGCCGACCCATTCGTGCCGAAGCATGTATCTCCCACACTGTTAACTTCTAATCATGTATTAATTTGTACTTTTTAAACAGATCATCGTGAAAATGTTGGAGGATGGTCAAGTCATACTGTCAGTCGACGGCAGCGAAAACTCGGGATACAGTTCTGGCATCTCCAACCTGATGAATGCAGACTCAAACATTTACCTTGGTAAGTAAATTGGGAAATAAGACTTTAAAGCAACCTCTACAAAGTGGGTTTTTGTATTAGCTGTGTTTGGGAAATAGATTGACTGTCGTTCATTGGTTTACTCGACTTAAATTGGGTGTGCTGTGTATAGCAGAAAAAAAAATCCATCGTGTTTAAAAAACTAAAATTAACAATACGTATGACAATTGGGTAGTTTCCTAGGTCAAAAATAAATTAATTCGACGTTTTAATACGATAAAATATTGAAAAATAACTATACTTTTATTCATCGATCGATCGATACACTAAGTTTTAGATTTTTTTTAAAAATAAGTAAGCTACTTGACGCAAAAATGCTATGACGTCATAATTCAATGTTTCATACAATTTTCATAGAAAAGTATCGTTTTTGACATTTGGATAAAAGTATTGAATTTGACTAGTTGGAAACAACCGTATTACGTATTGGAATACATATGTAGAGTGGCATCTCATAATTATTTCTTTTTCTCAGGTGGTATACCTGATAGTATCAACCAGCAAGGATACCCAGGCTTCACTGGTTGCATCCACCAAATCGAGCTGATGAACTCAGACCGAGGCTTGAACCTCGGACAAGTTGCTGTAACTGGAAGAAACACGCAACGTTGCAAGGAGTAAGTGTAACAATTCATTTCGTTCATTATCATCTAACATCATAATCATCACCATGACTGTTTGACGAGTTACGAGATAGCCCGAACAGTTTCGTACCAAACTGGGGGCTCATAGTGGAAAAAACATAATTAATACATGTCACGAGAGTAACACGAGAGTAACACGAGACACAAACATTATCATCATGTGTGGAATCAAGGTTCCAGGTTATATAGAAAAAAAAATCTCTTTCAAAACAATTTGATCGGGAATTAAAAACTGGAATGCTGTTATCCTAGTAGCTGGGGGTAGGTCCCTAATTTCACTGACATTGGTATCAGAATCTATCTAACAACCATTTTCTCAAGTCAAGCTTTTTCCAGATTTATTTAATGTTTCATAGCCACCTTAATACCATAGGCATTCTAACCAGTCGACCTTTGAGTGATCTACAGAAAGTATAATAGGCAGACTCATAACAAAATTGTTGAATAATGGGTGCGCATTGTATGCATGGCTGTAATTAGGTTTTATCAGACAATAAAATAAAACTTAATTAGAAATAAAAAATGGTACTTAAATTTAAATATTTATACGTAGTTATTTCGATACCATTTCCAAGCATTTCGAAATTAATTATTGGAATAGCTATTAAAAGTTTAATAATCAATTTGCAAACCTATGTATTTCTTAAATTTTATTGAAAGAAATATACAACGTTTGCTTTTTACTAGTGTTTTAAATTATCTTTATAAAATCTCGATCCGTCTCTGTACCATTAAATAATAAATTAATTAATCCATACCTAAATCTTATTTTTTCTTTGAATATCTATCTCTATGAGTTTTAATAATTTCAGTCTATATCTAAGGAGTCTAATACGTTTTAGACTACTGTTTAAGTACAAAAAATATTTCAAGTCTACGGCATATTTTTTTCATACATCCCTTCCTTGACCTCAAACTCATATGCCAAGACTAACTAAAATTAAACCCTAATCTAGTCGAAATAAACTTCCGTTTCCAATACTATCTCACTTACTTAGCCAACAGAATCAGAAGATCTCATTATACCAGTATTCTTTTAGTCTAGACACCATTAAAACTAAGATAAGTAAGTAGACAAAAAAATAATATGTTAAGTAGTATTTAATTAACGAAACTTTAATTATAATGAAAACTTTCAATATGCCAATACAAACTTAACAAAATTATAAATAAGATATATTTATTTTTACACACAAATTACCGAATGATTTCGTACGGTCCCCAAGACCTTTGTAAAGTTAAAATCATATCATTACTATCATAATCCAAATCATTAACCATTTTCTACGTCATATTTTTTAGGCTGGAACAAAAGGAGACATTTTGACCTTTAGCAAATAATTTGAAAGACAAATTCTCCAAAAACATGTCACCGTTGTTCAGCCTGCCAATATAACTATTATCGTGTTTGAAATGTACTAATTATTGTGCTTAACTAATCATACTAATCTCAGTTACATTAACTGGCTTTTCATGCGGCTCTGGAAAAATAATAGCAAACTATACACTGACCTGTTTCCTTATTTCGAGGAGTTTGATGTCGACGATTCACCACCAGATCTTCCATACAATATGAATTCCAAGAAAACCCTTAGTATATTGTCAATTGTTCCATCCTTCCTGTGTATACTCCTATCCCGATTACTTGCTATGAATAATTATTAATCAAACTGACTGGTGAGTGGGAATTAATTAGCTAAATAGTTGTAAATTGCATGCATTATAATGTTTATTATTTATTTAAGGCATTAGAAATATGAGTATTAAGTTAGTAAATAGATTTATGGTTTTTCTATTGTTGTGTTTTTTTTTTATTACTGGATGGTAAGCTGTCGCCACCGCCCATAGACACCTGCAACACCAGTGGATTTACGAATGCCTTGCTGGTCTTTGGGGAAGCACTCTAATAATACTAGTAGTGTTCTAGTCTTTTCACCTCGAAAGTCTTTTATTACATTATTACTACGTAGATTTTTGTTGCCTTCGCTTTAACTGTTTATTACAATGTCTGTATATTTTCTATATTATCATCTAATACATTTTTTTTGTCCGCAGGTCAATCAGATATCTTTAAAGAAACCTCACGAACGACAATCGACACACAATCAACAATACAATAGCACAATACTATTTAAAATATGATTTAATATAAATATCTCATTGAACAGTGTAATCTTAAGTTTTCAATTGGAATTATTTGTGAAGAGACCAATTTGAAATAAGATTGCTACTAGTTGTTTTTTATAAATACAAATAAACAATATTGTATTAGTACTAAGGAAACTCGAGAAACCAGACAATACGGATAGCTTAGGAAGATAGGTAAACGCGGATGGTGGATTGTCGTGTGGTGTCAGTGAAAGACATGTTCGCGTTGCCGCAGTGGTGCTCTATCGAGCAACAATGTGTTTGGTGCCATAAGATGAATTTATGTATTTACTAATAACTTTTAAGTGTCCAGTTCTCGTTATACCCGCTTATTATTCGTGAGTAATTTTGAAAAAATATCTCTCTAAAACTTCCAACGCTTCGTTTTATTTTCGCACCCAGTGAAATCTTGTTATTGTGCCAAACGTGATAACTAATAATTTTGTGTTAATTTCTACACTGCCAAAAAGATTTTCCTTTTTTATTATTTTTCTTAAAATATTAAGTAAATATTTCGCTTTTTAAGCAACGAATATACTATTGTTAAGTACGTACTTATATATAATAACTATGTGAATATAAAATATTATTTTAATTAAATCGACTACGATGGCATTTAACTTAATTATCGTCAGTGATTTTTAAATATTGTTATATATTTTAATTACAAAATTATATTTATGCATTAAATGTGTTTGTTACTAGCTTATCTAAGAAATACGACATATTATATATAATTACAACGTACTGATATTATATTACTGTATATTTAATAATAATCTTTACATGTATAAACTATTTTAAATGATCGATCTACCCATATGATTCTGCTAAGTGAACAAATTCGACTAACAATAAAAAATAAAATGTCATGAAAATGTTTTTTTTTTTATTTTCCCTAATACTTATACATCTGTATTTCCTAGGGCTGCGGTTCAATTAGGTCCCGCGGTTTCGGCCTGGAGCAGGAAAGGAGAGATTTTTAGTTAGCAAGAGTCTCTCTCTCTCTCGCCATACCCTGGCCGAAAGAAATTATTTGATGGTTTTCCTCTTAAAAAAAAAAGTAACTAAGAGTCTATGATTAACACCGTTACGACTACCCAATAACCCTGATAGCCTGATACTATCAAGGTTTCAATCAGAATCTAGAAATACTGCTTCATAACTAAGAATGAAAGATATGAAGCACTGATCAAGAAATAAAAAAAGAAGAAAGGAAATTGAATTGGAAAATGGTAATTGTAAAACGAGATTTAGATCAGAAACACAAGTAGAGAAAATATCGTGATTGAAATCAACTTTGTTATGACGAGACGGGGACTAGTTAATCACTATTTGACTCCCCTGCTCTCCCACCCACGCTAAAGTACTAGGGTGGAGGGGGGGGGGGGGCAACTAGGAATATCGCGGGAGCCTTCAGTACCCTCTATGCTTTACAACTGAATCCACGTCTGCCAGTTCTATGAGCTTTAACGAAACACTGTTTAAACTTTGTATTAAAGAAAATTCTCCAATAATATCTTTCGTTTTTAATGTAACAAATAATACTACTTTTAAAAAGAAGAAAAACTACATTGAACTAATGTCCCAAATTGAAAATAAAAAGGAATTTCGATAGTTGCGGTTGTTTGTTGAGTGTATGAATCTACAAGATTTAAATATCAACCAGCTAGCCATAGTATCTAAAAGTAGCGGAAACACCGGGTAATATATCCAAAAAAAAAAAAAATTCAACCTTCTGATCATAGATTACGGTGCATAGAACATCTCGAGACATTCCGCGGAATTGACTCAATAAATTGACAATTATTTATATTTCTGTCAGAAAGCTTTGCCTGAATCATTTATTAAGTAAACATGTTGTAGTTTACTGAACAGTTAAAATAATGGAATGCATAGGTAGATAATATTTATTTTTGAAATAATTCTGGTGCATTGTAGGAATATACTTCTATATTTTTTTCTTAGGTTCATTCAACATCGCCTTTAAAGTTTTAATAATTTTATCGTTAGTACGGTATTTTAGCTGAGCTGCGTAGTAAACTGTGTTTGGTACAAATCCCTCCACATCAGGACTGCCTGCTTTCATATAAACAGACAATGATTTCCTATAGTCCTGACTTGTTGTTGGTACAACGTTAGACTCAATATCTTTATCAAGAAGGTCGCTTTTGTTCTTGACGAATTCTCTTTTGAAACGCTGTATACCAGATACCTTCCCATTTTTCTCAAAGAGTTTCGATTTTTTCTCTACCAACCTTGACGAAAGCCCTTCTGGTAATGATGAAGTAAATACTTTGTCATGTTTATTTCTAATTTCATTATAAACTTCATTTATTTTCGGGACATCGGAATACTTTCGGTAAATCGGAACTATTTTTGTATTTTTGTTATTGTATATACGTTCTACGTCCTTCTTAATTATCATATTCACTTTTTTTGGTACTTCTCCAGCGGCAACTATTTTATCCCCTTTCTCATTGCAGTAGAATAATACAGTAGCTAGTACATACTTTTCTTTGCTTTCGTCATCCCTTGTCGGGGTAGCTGATACACATGACAAAACAGCAAAGAAAATTAAAGGGTAGCTAAAAAAAAAAGAAATATCTGTAGATTTTATCTTAACGTTGATTCTAAAAGACTATCGAGCGAATGTACAGAAACACAAAATGTATTCGCACGTATTTGAGGACCCGTAAGCGCGGGTCTGCGGTCGGCGAGTAAGGGCAGCTCGCCGCCCGGCCAGAACCAGGCCCGAGCGTACGCCTCAAAGAGCCAATAGACCACCACAGACGGGGCCCTATAGGGCTGATGTTCAGCAGGGGTAAGCGCAAGGAGGCACCGCGAACTCGGCCCAGAGCAGGAGAAGGAACAGGGGGGGTTTTAGCCAGTAAGTGTCTGACACTCCCTCCCGCCCGGACCTGGGCGGGAGAAGTCATTTGATGATTTTCCCCTCACAGAAAAAAATACGTACTTATTTGAGGACTTGAAAGTCATGTTTTATCTTCAGTAATTTTACTGGAAACAGAAATGAGTTTAAATACTGTAATAATACAAAGACAACAATCATCATGAGACTAAACTATGCTTCTTCTAAATAAGGTTTCCCATAACCTCAAGTCTTATAGATCATAGCTTAAATTGATTCGAATATGTCTACTTGAAAACTTGGCTTCTCTCCCCCAGTGGAGTGAGAGGAAATGTCAACCTATTACTGACTTTAAGCCACCCAGTTCCTTCTCCTGTTCCAGTCTGAGACCATGGTACATTATGCGCTTACCCCGCAACCTTGGCAACTTCAATAAACCTAGAGAGATCTAAAATAAATCAACATTTACTTACAACTTCATGTTCTTAAACCAAATTCAACGTGCTACGAATGAATACTTCCCAGCTGTAATGAATCGAAGAAAATTTTAATAAGTGCAATAAAATGTAATTATAATTATGTCAAGTAATTATTACTAAAAATGTAATAAGTGTGAAATGTAATTTTATTTTGACCATAATTTTTCTATTACGCGATAAACGCGTTTTGAGGATTGAGTGATTTTATTTTCCAGTAACCTTGGTTGGGCTGACCGAGGTGAAATTTATTAATGATAGATGGGTCGGAAGACAGTATTGGTACGATTGAGACAAAAGTCTTTCAGAAAACAGGCGCAAAATAACAATTGCTTTCTACTTTGTCATTTTGTGGTTACCGAAGGCCCAATCACCCCCAAACAGATTAACAGAATTTCTTATTCTATTTACTTTATTCCGGTTTTTTTACAATAAATTCTATTTTTGAAGCATTTCTTTTTTGGATGACGTAATTAACAATAAGTTTTTTGTAAAACAAAAAAAGTATTCTTTTATTCTAGTGTTTTCTTTGTTTGTTTGTATTAAACAGGCTCCAAAAGTCCATGACTTACTTCGAAATATTTTTTCATTGTTAAACTCCACTGTCTCGCATGAATATAGGCGATTTACTTCGAAGGTAAAACGGCAGGTCAAAGCTATATTTAGAACAATAATAGTCACATTTTAGGAAACCCTAGTATGTCCAGAAACTATGACCAACTCCCAAACGATAAGTTCCAGCTTTCCAGGTGGACTAATTTCTATTCCACAGACCAGAACAGAAATAAAATTGAAAAAAAGAAAGAAATTGTATGGCATCGCTTTCCCTTACGAGTTTCTTTGATTATCAGTTTTTTTTATATTATTATTAGAAATGGTATGTGGAACCCGTGGTGGCCCAGAGGTTATGATGATACATGAGGAATCGAAACCAGGATAACCAGGATAGAAACCACTAATGTGAATTTTTCCGAGTTATATAAGCTTTATCGGCCTTATTACAAAACAAGGTTTTACTTTAGTCTAGGACTGAGCCATTGAGCTAGTTTTCGTATTTCGAATTGGTAGATGACAATAAGATTCAAAATTCAAAACCCGACTCAATGGTTTAAATCTGGACTAAAGATAAACCTTGTTTTGTAATAAGGGGGCATAATTTTACTAAGACATCTCTGACAAGCGATGAAGACAAAATATTGCGAGGAACCCTGGACTTATAATTTCATAACAAACGTAGTGATTATCCATCAAAGGCCTTTGCCCAGACTAATTGTGAAAAAATTCATTGGACTTATACGTACGTATCACACATTTAGTTTTTAGACTGCGCAGGTCACGCTTTGAAAGCGGCTTTGATTGAAACCTGTCGCGGCTTCGATTTCCGCACACAAAGAGTTGTTCCTCTTTGTGTGATTCACAAACAGTTGTTCCTGGTCTGCGTGTGATGTGTACATGAAGTTTTGTGTTGGTAAACGCAACCATGACACAGGAAAAAATTTTGTGAGTGACAACGTTTCATATACTTTTAAAGAATGGTTGTTTTATTTTCATTTTCAAGTTTCAAAAGTGCCTTGTTTGTATAGCGTCTTTTGTCGTCTACCTCTCTCCAATAAGACAAGTTTATGAGATTCTTCTAAATAACGAGCTCACAGGATCTCATCACAAGGACTCCTAGCTAGGACGAGTACCAGACTCGTGTCAGCTTAACAATGCAACCAAAAGCGCAGTAAGAATTTATAAGGATACTTCCACACTACTATAACAACGTGAACGAATATTTTCTTACCGTATATCAAATATTTACAGATGTTAAGAATGGTTACATTCTATAGATGTTTTAGATGTGTAACATCGTCATGTACATCATCTCCATCATTCCCAAGACACTTCACTGCTGTACAAAGGTACCTTAGTCCTCCACATCAAACGAAAACCATTGCAACCATTGGCAGACCCTGACCCTGACGATGTCAGTCCACCAAGAAGGAGGAGTGCCCTCGCTACGTGGTCACCATTCAAGCACTTTTCTAGCCCATCAGCCATCTGTACTTCGAGCGATTTGGCCTGCCCATTGCCACTTTAGATTGCAGATATTATTTTAATTTTTTTGATATCGACCCAGATTTATTCTTGAATATACAAATGTGGATGATTGGTTCCTTATAAAATAAATATTATAAAAATAAATTCAATTGTTCTACAGACACCAATTATTTAGATGTTAACGTAACGACTAAAATGATCCATTGGGTTTTAATATTTTTAAATTTGGAAATTGTGGTTTAAGTCAACTGTTAGCTAAATTAGTAGGCAGTTTAGTAGTTGTAAATCAGAAGCACCATTATGACTTTAATATGAAAAGGTAAATATTTTATAACGAAAGTGACATTGTATGCCCTCCCTCCCTCCCCCACCCCTCTTCCTTAACACTTCTTAAGCCAGCCTTGTTACTTGAGTGGTTGCAAGTGCTACCGACCTGTCATAGTCTCAATTCCTAAGTCGGCCATGTAATGTCGTCGTTTCCATTTTCGAAAATTGTAATAATTGTAGTGCTGTCTTTGTGATTTTGGAATAACACTAAGATAATGTACTGTAGTTATAAATTACTTTATTTTTAATTTAAGAACATGGTGTCTTTTATAGATTCTTCACAATAATCAAGGCATCAAAATATTTTTTACTTTATTTAAAAACTAGCTACCGCCCGCGGCTTCGCCCGCGTGGTATTATGATAAAAAATGTCCTATTCCGGAGCGTATGCTATGCCTGTGCCAAATGTCATCCAGATCTGTCGAGCCATTTTCGCGTGATTGAGTAACTAACATCTAAACATCCTGACATAGTAACTTTTATAATATTATTAAGACTAGTAGATAGTTAAAAGTAAGATAAAAAATACAGGACACGATTTATTAACAACACATTTTTGTTGAAATCGGTTAAAAGGTCATTTACTCTCTTTTTAATAGAAGATTAATAAGGGAAACTAAGATACTGATTTAAATAAAAATCTGGTATAATTTTGGGTTATCCTGCTGTTATTCTAACTGTACTTTTACACACCTTTTACAAGTTCAAACTCCACAAAAATAATTCATAATTCAAACCAATAATTGTAGGTATCAGAGGGCACTTTATTTAATATTTCATAACATTTCTAGGAAAGAAAAGATTTAATCTTTTTCCAGGCGTTGCTCATCTTAAAGAGGATGCCTTTGAAGTTGCTGTACTTATGTAAAACTGGGTCTCTCGTTAAACTGACTGCGAAGCACACTGAGTTAGGAATGAATGAATGTATAATCATAGGAGCTATGTTAAATTTCTTCGGTAATGAATCGAGATTCTTATTAAGCACAGCTTTTGTTAGACTTGTAACGCTCTTCGTGTAGTTTGACATATCGTAATGCTTGACATGCGATGTCCTGTTTGCTATCATTCTCATTTTATGTGCAACTATTTTAGAAATAACTATTTTCGGAACATTTTCCACGAAAGCCAATTTGTATTTTTGTGTCATCAAATCAGAAGCGGTATCTATTGGTGGTACATCATTTACGTCCTTATAAGCTGGTTCGATTTCTATGTGAGCATAGTTAAGCATATTTTGTAGGCTTTTTTTTATTATACTCTCCACTTTCTTAGCCACATGACCAGCAGCTACTATTTTATTTCCTTTATTATTGCAGTAAAATAATACAGTTACCGTGACGTTAGTTTTCGTTTCGGTGTTTTCCGCCAGTGTGATTGATAGGCATGACAAGATGGCTACCAGATGTATTAAAATGTACCTGGAAGAGAACTTTATATTAGTTTATTATTTTAAGAAATTAAGGGCTAATTTATTAATTAAATATTATTTATGCACACACAAATACATAATTAGGAAAATACTTAAAAGTAAAAACATTTAATAAAAAGATATTTTACATACACTCTCATAATATTCTTCTTCAAACTTTTGGTCTTGAATGAGTTAATAAAACATTAAATCGAATCTCAATTATAATTAGTTAATAAAATCAATAATTAAAATTACTAATTATACAAATGTATAAGTACTCATATTTGAAAAAACATTGATAACACTTGATTAAAGTAATGCAGTAAAAACTTAGTACTATCGTAATTAAATTTAACACATGTCATATATTCACGATACAGTGTTATCCGTTACCCACCAGACCCGATTAAGTAAGGCGTGATACGTAGTGCTCCTCTCGCCCGTTGATTGCGTTTTCCGACTCAGAACAGAAGTTGAAACGAAGTAGTTTTTAGTCAGTAAGAGTTTGACAATAAAATGTCTGGATAGTGATCCCCTTTACAAAAAACTTTCTTTAATTCTGTATATGCAATGAAAAATTTGATAGACATTGATCGAATCAGGCATCACGGTAAACGGACCATGTATCGTGTTCAACAATATAAATGGAAACGTAACAAATTTAATATATGTATAATCAGCATCTGCATGAAGATCAACCTATGTGCTATATTCTATTTGATTGAACTTGAATTGTATACTATCATAAGTATGTTAGGTATTTATTATTATTATCAGCCGTTATCGTCCCACTGCAGGGCAAAGGCCTACCCTTCTTCCACTAATCTCTGCACAAAGCTTTCTGCGGCCAATCCTCGTCAAAGACATCAAGTTCGTCACTCCATCATTCTGGGCCTGCCTCGGTGTCTATTAACCTTGGGCTCCACTCAGTAATAAGTTTTGCTCACCGCTCGTCTGTCATGCGACTAAGTTCTTTAGAGAAACATAATTTTAAATTAGGAAATTTACTGCATCACTATTGCCAAAACCACTTCTCTATCTTATAAACAAATTATGACTCTTATTGGTTAGCTATTACGTCTACTTTATGAAGATGTTAAAATCTCTTTAAGTAACTTTGTTGAGAAAAATACTCCTTAATTGTTATGTATGCACGAAACGATTTCGATGATAATCGAAATGAAATTTTTAAGTGCAAATTTAGGCTGTAAGAATGATTTAGATTGTCCAACATGAATCGCCCGCACAGTGCTAAGTCAAATTTTGTAGCAATTACTTTTTTAAGGAATACATAGGTCGGTCAACGAGCATACGGATTACCTACTCTGTATTGATATACATGCTGATACAAAAAAAATCCACTACTATATATTATTTGTTAAAAATTGCACCAAAATCCGTTGTGTATTTTTAAAGATTTAAGCGTACATCGGCATATAAAAACAGAGAAAGTGACTTTGTTTTATACAAATAATACCCCCTCATTTTGGGAGTAAAACCAGAATAATAAGAAAGACAAATTGAAAATATATTAATATTTAATATTAAAACAATATTATAAAGTATTTATTGAAAATCAATGTTGGTATATGTGTTCGATTAAGAAATATACAGCATTCGGAATAGAAGACTGTAGAATCAATGAAGAATAAGGACCTACAAAAAAGCGCTTTTCCATTTGAGCCTTGTTCCCATAATATGCAGATGTTTCTTGAATCAGGTTACCCACATCCTTAGCAAAACTGTTAAGTCTTAGGTGTTTAAGATCAGATAAGTATTTAGGCTTGAATTTTGGTAACTTCTCTTCTAATACCTTTAAAATCACTCTCAGTGGAACGTACGTCACGTAGAATTGTTTATATTTCTCATCTATTAATTTGTTAAGTTCCTCTACAGGTGGGACTTCAGATATCTCTTCGTATATAGGCATGACTTCAACTGGCACATCTTTTATGTTTGTTTGTATGTATTCCCGTATTATATCTTCTATTGCTTTATTAACCTTACCAGCAGCTACAAGTTTGTCCCCGTTTAAGTCGCAGTAAAATAGTACTGTGGCTGCGAAGGTCAAATTTCTTTTATTATCTGCTGGGCTAGCTTTAATGGAAGACAAAGCTGCTAAAGATATTATAATGTACCTGAAACCATATATTACAAGAAATTATAGCGTGATGCAAAAATAGAGTATTTTAAGTGTGGGAGAGCCATGCTTCGGCACGAATGTACCGGCTCCACTGAACACTACTAAATTCATTAAGTTTTTATAATAACTATCGTGAGACATACTAAATTACCTAAAAATTGCGGGTTACTCACGTGAATATCTTGAAAAAAGAACTACTAGTTTCGAACCACAGAGGGATTCTTCCTCGTGAGTTTTTCTCAAAATAGACACGTGAGTAACCCGCGATTTTTAGTTAATTTAAATTCATTATAATAAAAAAACGTTATGTGTGTGACCTCAAGAGGCGCTGCAATATTTGTTTCAACATCTTACTAAGCCATCACTATCGAGTATCGACCAACACTTAAATTGCTTTAAATTCACGTTATATTGTTTTATCAGAGATAGCTACTATCAGTTTCTGTAATACCTATTACAATGATTTGGACTTACACTTTCATGTTTGTCATGACATCGTCGAATAGAAAAACTACTTTTTCCCAATACTTACTTACTTGAAATACTGTCGTAAATATCATTAGAAAATGAAAACCGATAATGAATTGTAGTACTTATCATACTTATCTTAAATATTTTACAGTTGTATTAAGTATGTAATTAAAACTACATCACTCACTCATTCAAGTGTGGGAGAGCCAAGCTTCGACACAAATTGGTTGGCTCGACCGGAGAGATACCACGGCCTCACAGAATACCGGCGTGAAACAACTACAGCGTTGTGTTTCGCCAAGTGAGTGAGGTTACCGGAGGCCCAATTCCGCCCTATCCCCCATCCCTTCCCAATCCTTAAATATCCTAAACCTTTATCCCTAAAAGACCGGCGACGCACTCGACAACAACTCCTTTGATGTTGCGGGTATCCATGGGTGGCGCTGATTGCTTACCATCAGGTTATCCGACTGCTCGTTTGCCGACATACAGCATTAAAAAATTATGGTCTATTTGAATTAAATGATTTGAGTTAGACTTTGACTTTTCCTCGGCAGTCCCGTTTGCTAGAACTTAACTAACGTGGCGATGTGGTTTATTTATAATTGAAAACGTGAAGCATTTTCTGTTATATGAAGCCCTTCTGTATTTCATAGCGCCAGGCAGAACGCATGCAATCGGTTATCGATCGGCGTAACTCGGTTCCTAGAATAATTCCACATTTACATCAAGGAACCTGTTTTATCGTTCACTGCTTTCGATTCTATGATTAAAATTATATTTTACGCCAGACTATAATCTATCTGTGTGCCCAATTTCATTTCGATCTGTTCTGTAAAAGAGTACTAGTTACTCAAACATCTTTTCATATTTACAAATTTTCGTGTTTGTTTTAGTAGTACCTAAGTATGTTAACTAAGTTGTGTTTATTTGTTGTTAACTAAGTGTGAGTGAGTCATGCTTCGGCACGAATAGGTCGGCTCGACCGGAGAGATACGACGGCCTCTCAGAAAACCAGCGTGTAAAAGTGTGGAGAAGAAGGAGCAAGAAGCTCCATTGTTATTATTTTTCAATCGGTTACACAATTTATTTCCTTGTTATATAATTTAGTAATTTCTATTGTGTTATGTTCTAATCTCGCGATCAGACCCCGTTTGGTAAAAAGAAAATACTTTTAGACGTGCTTGGAGTAATTTCAGTATTTATATATTTTTTGTTTTTTAAACATTTTGCCCCATTCTAGGATTTGGCCTGTGTCGCGGGTGTTTAAACATCATCTAAACCTGCAAAAACAATCTAAAGATCACACAGAGTTATTCCGTGTGGGAATCAAACACACAACACGTGGCGCGGCAACCAATTTCTCGGCCAAGTATTACCCGGCTGTCCGGTTAATAGGTAACTTCTTCAACATTGGACTCTAATATAACCGGTGTAAACTGGATGCTATATTTTATACCTTTTTTGCTTGGCAAAGGAGCAGACGGATTATGGTGGTAAGTAAGTATGTTAAAATAATGCTAACAGCGAATCTATTAAGAAAAACTTCCAGTCTAAAAGATAAGTTAGGCTTTAAAATTTACTTGCAATACAAAAGAAAAGTACACGGAAAATCGGGAAATTACAACCTTTTTGGTGCCGTGACGGACCTTTGACCTTTTTAGGGATTAGGGATTTGGAGATTTAGCGATTGACGAAGGATTGGGGGGGGGGGGAAGGATCGGGCCTCCGGTAACCTCACTCACACGGCGAAACACAACGCTGTGGTTGTTTCACGCCGGTTTTCTGTGAGGCCGTGGTATCACTCCCCATTCGTGCCTAAGCATGGTTCACCCACACTTTAAAGCCGAAGCCGAAATACCGACGTAGTTATAATAATAACGAGCGTCCCACTCAAGTAAAATCGCACTCTAGTTAAATAAAAATAAAAATATCTGAATAAGCTCCGATTAAAAAGAGATTGAAATAGGATAAAATAATTTAAAACTCTCCGCTTAAATTTAAAAAAAGAACACACAAACTCCCTTTAGTTATGGTTGCAATTTTGGATTTATGAACTACATAGTTTATACAACTAAATTTATTTGAACAAAATGGAGATATCTTATTGCAAATGTTATATCCATTTAGTCCAAAAAAAGCGTTGCCCCTTTTTTTGAACGAATTAATTTTGAATTATTTTATCTTTTATACCGTATCTTAATCGTAATGACTGCCTTTCAGCTCCATTATCAGATTAGATCCTTGTAACTACCTTAAAACAAAGATATGTGTTACATCTGATCAGGATCCTAGAAACCATCTTAATACGAGGTAAAAAAAAGGTCAAGCCAAATCTTTCAAGCTGATGTTCGATAGGGTTGCCTCGTTTTGTTAAAAATCCTAGTAATTACAACAGATAGCTTGAATATATTTTTAGGAAGCAAATTTATAACTTTCACTTTTGGCTAGTAGAGTCTTTAGTAGTAGTTAAAAAAAATATTTTTGAATTTGAATAATATTTCTCTTTTAGGCAGTTATCGTTGGGCTTTTGGATGAGTGTAAGAAGTTCCTTTCACATTGATCATTGCTGGAGTAACTTTAAATTTTGGTTCGAGTGGAACTATTAAGAGTTTTAGGTATTCTGATTCTTAGTTTAGCTAAAGTATAACAGGAGACTGTTTACGCCTTGTAAAGTTAAAAGTCGCGATCTTATGAAGGTAACCATCACTAAAAAAAATGTTTTATTTGAAAATAAACAATGTACAATGTAGAGAGAACAGTATAGGTTACAATGAACATTTTGTTAAAATGGGACAACAAATCCAACTCATCATTTCCATCAACATTTTCCTCGACTTAATGAAGAAAATTACTATTTTTATCTACTTTTTCCCATACGAAATAGATCCCCGTAGAAGTCTTTCTCTCAAGCCTTGCAGGCTGCAGTCATCCAGCCAGTTGACACAGGATTTCTCGATAGCGTAGTAAATTTGATTGGGCATCACTGTTACGTAAGGATCCACTACATCTGGTCTCATCACCAAGTAATCATTCTGCCCTCGTTTCTCAACAAACGGTCTATCGTAGAGGGCCGACTTTTTATGAGACAAGGCAGTCTTTAATTCTTTTTCAACTAACTCTGCGTGGTTATCTTTTAACATCTTTCCTTCTTCATGGTTCCTCAAAGCTGGTTTTGGTGCATTATATCCTTCGTAATCATAGAAATGTTTTGACTTCCCTAATGGTAAATCGTCCTCTAATGCCCTTCTGCTTTTCGAACGTAATTTTGTATCTACTATGTACTGGACCACCCTGCTCAACAGTATGGCGTTTTCATTCCGTTTCTCTTTTGTCATTAAATCGAATATGCTTGAGGGCGTCGCTATTTTTATCAATAATAATGTCATGCATAGGTTTAACTGAAAAAAGAAAAATGGGTTAAATATATTCGACAACAATCATGTTCAGTTTTGTCCATTACTGACTTGTGCATTCCACTGTATATGGGGTTAACAAAAAGCTAACAAAATTTAATATATACTTATGATTTATTGAATGGTAGCAGAAAATATCGTGGTTACGAGTACTCCAATAACCCGATACATTGAACGCATATTAGCGCGGATTCCAAACCTAGCTTCCTGACTTCACAATGACTTTTTTCGAATTATTTGTACTTTCGAGGCCTATCTAGACAACTTTTGCTCAGCCGTGGACAAAGTAATGTATGACACTCATATATCATCATCTACCTACATATTACTTTGGGTTTAATACCTTTTTGGAAATATCAAAAACTCTAAAATGTAGACCTACCTATAATTTCCTTTCATATTGTGACAGAAAACTCTTTGACATCATGACGTCAATGGATGGTTGTCAAACGTTGCCTAGAGATTGTAAATTTCGTCGTGAATTGTCAACACGAGTTGGTGTAATCGGTAAGACGTGTGGATTACACCACAGAGACCCCGAGTTCGAGACCCGCCGTAAACATGAAGTTTTTTAGTTGATGGAAGTTTTGTCGAACTTTCTGGAATATTTGAGTGAAAGTAATGAAAAATTAAGGAGCGAGAAGGAGAATAAATAAAAATGAATAACGAAATTATTGGAAGGTTCTGGAGGCATGACGATCAAAAAGAATAACGAAATTGAATGTTCTAGAACCTGACCAGGGGTATATAAGCGGAACTGCGGCTCACCGCTGGCAGTTGAGTTCTAAGTCCAAAGCGATTCGGAAGAAAAGGAAGAAGTGAAAAGAAGAAAAGTGAGTGAAATAGTGAAGTACAGTGAAATAGTGAAGTGCAGTCAGTAAGTGAATTAAGTCAGCGTGAACAGTGAACGGCAAAGTTGTGTCAGTCGGCCGGACTCTGCTGGAGAGGAACGCCGATAACTTATCCGTATCCGTGGACGCTGTCACTTAAGTGCAATAGAAAGTCTGAAAACCGGTATTAGTGTTTAATTTTATCCAATCCCGTAACCCAAGCCCGCATAGTTAGGAACGTGACGTCAGGCACGTAACATTTGGTGTCAGAAGTGGGATTGGAGAAAAATGCCGCTAGTGCCGCAGGACGTAAGAGGAGTGAGTACCCGTGCTATGTCAGAAGCGCAGCGTGTGAGAGAAGAGGGTGCTGCAGCTCAAACCAGCGATGCAGAAGCCAAGCCTGTGCAGGTGGATCTTCTGCTACAGCTGCAGCAAATGATGGCAGAACAGCTGCGGGAGCTGAAAGAAGATCAAGCGCGCCGCCAAGAAGAGCAAGCACGCTGTCAGGCAGAACAGCTGCGGGAGCTGAAAGAAGATCAAGCGCGCCGCCAAGAAGAGCAAGCGCGCCGCCAAGAAGAGCAAGCGCGCCGCCAAGAAGAGCAAGCACGCTGTCAGTCAGGACAGCTGCGGGAGCTGAAAGAAGATCAAGCTCGTCGCCAAGAGGAGCAAGTGCGTCGCTTGGAAGACATGCATAAAGATTTCACGAAGGGACTGCAAAAGGCTGTCAAACGGGTACAAGAAGTGGAGGAAGGTTTAGGCAAGTTGGAACATCGTGTCATGGCGATAGAGGAGAGATTGGAAGAAGAGATCTCCAAAATCAAGCAGGAAGTGACAAACCCAAGCCCTTTAAAGAGCCGAAGCCGTCTTGCAGCCGTTTTTTGACGCCCCAAATGCGGCCTTAAGCGCAACGAAAGGGCTCAAGATTCCCCATTACGACGGAACAACATCCTGGACCGCGTTCAAGCTACAGTTTGAGACACTTATGGAGGCTTATGGTTGGACTCAGAAGGAAGCACAGTCAGCCCTCACCCTGGCCCTCCGTGATCAAGCGCTCTCAGTGCTGGAAGCTATCGGCGCAAGTGGAGATCTCAGCTTTAGTGCCCTCCTCGACGCACTTGAGGCACGTTTTGGAGACAGCCACCTCGAGCACGTGTACAGAGCGCAATTAAAAGAGCGTACTCAGCGTGATAATGAGAGTCTACAGCAATGGTCCGTGGAAATCGAGAAACTTGTGCGTCGAGCTTTCCGGTCGACTCCGTCAATGATTGAAGGCACGCTTCTCCAAGCGTTCATTGACGGTATTCGGGACCCCGAAGTACGAGCTGCTGTTCATCTGGGCCATAACAAGAACATGAAAGAAGCTCTGGCCCATGCATTGGAAGTGGAAGCCGTGCGTGGCAACTCCCGTACCTTACGTCTGCGGGAAATGACGACAACGGAGCAGGTACCTCCACGCCGTCGGAACTTCATGTGCTATGGATGTGGAGAGCGTGGGCACATACGGAGCGACTGCCCGAAGAAGATGAACCGCAAGGACGCGGCGGTCTCAACTTCTGACCAGCAGGGAAACCTAAATCCAGCCAAGGCTGCGGGGTGGGCGCTGGCTGGTAGTGGAATAACCCCAACAATCTACATCAAGCAAACTAACGATGGAAATACCCTGGTGATAGACGGTCAAGTAAATGGGAAAAACAGTCAGCTAACATTAGATACTGGAGCTTCAAGGACGGTGATAAATGTTCGGCTGCTCGAGCAAAACATCAGGAAACACCTTAAACCAATTGTTGGCCTACAAATGAAATCAGCTACCGGCCAGTGCATACCGATAAGTGGAAAACTGCATGTAACAATCAAAATTGGGGAACAAGTTTATCGACATGAGGTTATTGTGGCCGAAATTCTGGATGACTGCATCCTGGGACTTGACTTCCTGCAAGGGCACCAGTGTAACATCGACTTAAAATCTGGAGTATTACTATGTGGAACTGAGGAAATTCCGATGAAGGGTGGAACCCTGGGAAAAGTTTGCTGTTTAAGAAGAACTGTTCTTGCACCAAAATCACAGACTCTCGTACCAATCGCATTACCTAGGAGGAGGGAAGGAAGTTTACCTCGAAGGTGCGCTGTGATTGATAAATCGGAACACGTGAATTCATGGCTACCGGCAAGAACTGTCGTGGGGTCATCTGATGTTAACCGCATTCCGGTATTCAACTTCAGTGATTCAGAAATTACGATTGAAGAAGGAGAGCCTGTGGGCGTATTGGAAGAAGTGGCCTGGATAAGAAAATGCTCGGAAAATCTTGTGAAGAAGGACAGTACGGGAATAGACTTTGTAACGAAAATCTTAGACGAAAACAAAAGTCTGACAAAAGTGGAGACTATGAAAGCTAGAAATTTACTTCTTCGATTCTCTGATGTGTTTTCAAGAAGCGATGGTGATATTGGCCGAACTGGTTTGGTGAAGCATAAAATAAACACAGGTGATACAATGCCAATTCGTCAAAGGCCCAGACGTATACCATTCGCTCGTGAGAAAGAAGTTGAAGAAATGATTGACGATATGAGGAAAAATGACGTGATAGAGCCCTCTTCTAGCCCTTGGTGTTCACCTGTCGTGCTTGTCAAGAAGAAAGATGGTTCAACGAGGTTTTGCGTAGACTATCGACGATTGAATGATGTAACCAAGAAGGATAGCTACCCGTTACCAAGAATCGATGACACACTTGACACACTGAGTGGCATGAAATGGTTTTCAACGCTCGATCTGAAAAGCGGCTATTGGCAGGTGGATTTGGATCCCAAGGACAAGGAAAAGACCGCATTCTCAACTGGGAAGGGACTCTGGCAATTTAAGGTGATGCCATTTGGATTATGCAATGCACCGGCAACCTTTGAGCGTTTGATGGAACAGGTGCTGGCGGGACTGCTGGGCGAAACTTGCCTAGTTTACCTCGATGACATCATCATTGTTGGACGGGATTTTGACGATCATCTAAGGAAATTGGAAAAGGTACTCGATAAGCTGCGTGGAGCAAATTTAAAGTTGAGTCCAAAGAAATGCTCTTTCTTCAAGCGCGAAGTGAATTATCTAGGACATGTTATTTCTGAGAGAGGAATTGAGACTGATCCAGCCAAGACTGCCGCTGTTAAGGGATGGCCGACACCTAAAGACAAAACGCAAGTTCGGGCATTTCTTGGATTGTGCTCGTATTATCGGCGGTTTGTGAAAGGATTCTCGGACATTGCCAAGCCTTTGCATCGATTGACAGAGGAGAAACGTGCCTTTATCTGGGACGAGGATTGTGAGCAAGCCTTTCGAGAATTAAAAGAACGGCTTTGTAACACACCAATTCTCGGATACCCCAGCGCGAAAGGAATATTCGTAGTTGATACGGATGCCAGCAATATTGGAATAGGAGGTGTCCTTTCACAACGCGATGGTGAGCAGGAGAAGGTTATTGCTTACTTCAGCAAGTCACTATCCAAGCCGGAGAAGAATTATTGCGTGACCAGGAGGGAATTGCTGGCCGTAGTCAAAACTCTGCACCATTTCAAGAAGTATTTACTGGGACGGAAATTTTTGATCAGAACTGATCACGCTGCTTTGAAATGGCTACTTCAGTTTAAGGATCCCGAAGGCCAAGTAGCCAGATGGTTGGAACAACTTCAGGAATTTGACTTTGAAATCGAACATCGCGGCGGAAGAATTCATGGCAACGCAGATGCATTATCGAGACGCCCATGCGTGGAAGATTGCAAGCATTGTGCCAAGAAGGAAACTGCTTTTCTTAAGGTGATAAGGACTGATACTGTTGACGAGGCATGGGGAGACGATGCGAAAAAATTAGAACAGGAAAGAGATGCAGATATCAAACCAATACTGGAGTGGCTACGAAGTGGTAACAAGCCAAGTTGGAGTGACGTCGCCCAATATAGCGCGGTAACGAAAGGTTTATGGGCACAGTGGAAAAGCCTTACGCTGCATAACGGACTTCTGTGCAGGAAATGGGAATCAACAAACGGCAAGGACGAGCATTTGCAATTGGTGGTGCCTCGTTCAAAATAAGGGATGTATTAAAAGCGTTCCAT